TCAGTAAGAACTTCAGTCACTCAACTACAAAATTTAAATAAAGTGGGAATAATTGAATCCCAAGGTGGCAGAGGCCAAGTGGTGGCACTCAACCATCAAAGGCAAGGTGGGTATAGCTACTGTAATAAACGGCAGAGGTAAAGTGGTAATCAGAATAGCCTGGACTTGTGTAGAGCTCTGGCACTGGCTAATTAATCGTGGTATTCCTAGAAGTGAAATAGATAGGAGGCCTGCTGCATTCCTACTTTATACAAACAGAAAACTTCTAGGTCTAATGGACAAAATGCTAATTTGAATTATAAAAACAGAGATTCATGGCCCCCATAGGTGAATCACAGCAGAAGCCTCTAGGATTTTGGAGCAAGGCCCTGCCATCTTCTGCAGATAGCTACTCTCCTTTTAAGAGACAGCTGTTGGCCTGTTAACCGGGCTTTGGTGGAAACTGAACGTTTAACTATGGGTCATCAAGTCACCATGTGACCTGAACTGCCTATCATGAACTGGGTGCTTTCAGACCCAGCTAGCCATAAAGTGAGCTGTGCACAGCAGCACTCCATCATCAAATGGAAGTGGTATATACGTGATCAGGCTTGAGCAGGTCCTGAAGGCGCAAGTAAGTTACATGAGGAGGTAGCTCAAATACCCATGGTCTCCATTCCTGACACCCTGTCTTCTCTTTCCCAGCCTGCACTGGTCTCATGGGGAGTTAGTTCCCTATGATTATTTGACAGAGGAAGAGAAGGCCAGGGCCTCGTTCACAGATGGTTCTGCATAACATGCAGGCAACACCTGAAAGTAGACAGCTGCAGCACTACAGCACCTTTCTAGGACATCCCTGAAGGACAGCAGGGAAGGGAAATCTTCCCAGTAGGCATAACTCTGGGCAGTGCACTTGGTTGTGCACTTTGCATGCAAGGAGAAATGGCCAGACTTGCAATTACATACTGATTCATGGGCTGTAGCCAACGGTTTGGCTGGTTGGTCAGAGACTTGGAAGAAGCATGATTGGAAAATTAGTGCAAAAAAATCTGACCTCTCTGAGTGGTCAAAAACTGAAGATATTTGTATCCCATGTTAGTGCTCACCAACAGGTGACCTCAGCAGAGGAGTTTAATAATTGAGTGGATAGGATGACCCGTTCTGTGGACACCACTCAGCCTCTTCCCAGCCACCTCTGCCATCGCCCAATGAGCCCATGCCAAAGTGGCCATGGTGGCAGGGATGGAGGTTATGTATAGGCTCAGCAACATGAACTTCCACTCACCAAGGCTGACCTAGCTACAGCCACTGCTGAGTGCCCAATTTACCAGCTGCAGAGACCAACACAGAGCCCCTGATATGGCACCATTCCTCAGGGTGATCAGCCAGCTACCTGGTGGCAGGTTGATTACATTGGACCTCTTCCATCATGAAAAGAACAGAGGTTTGTCCTCATTGGAATAGACACTTACTCTGGATATGGGTTTGTATCCTGCATGTAATGTTTCTGCCAAGACTACCATCTGTGGACTCACAGAATGCCTTATCTACCATCATGGACCACAGCAGTGCCTCTGACCAAGGCATTCACTATGGTTAAAGAAGTGTTGCAGTAGGCTCACACTCATGGAAGGGTGGAATGGCCTTTTGAAGTCATAATTACAATGCCCACTAGGTGACAATACTTTGCAGGGCTGGGGCAAAGTTCTCCAGAAGGCCATGTATGCTCTGCATCAGCAGTCAATATATGGTACTGTTTCTCCCATAGCCAGGATTCATGTTTCCAGGAATTAATGGGTGGAAGTGGAAGTAGCACCACTCACCATCACCCCTAGTGATCCACTAACAAAATTCTTGCTTCCTGTTTCCACAACATTATGTTCTGCTGGCCTAGAGGTCTTAGTTCCAGAGGGAGGAATGCTACCACTAAGAGACACAACAACAATTCCATTAAATTGGAAGTTAAGATTGCCATCTGGACACTTTGGGCCTTGGATTATACATGAAGTGTGTAATTATTTATTAATTATTCATAATTTATTATTTGAAGGTAAACTCTATTGTAAAACCTAGAACAACCACTAAAAAAAGACAAAAATTGAATCATAGTATCTAATAAATCCAAGAGAAGGTAGAAAAAAAGAAAGAACAAATGGAATAAACAAAATAGCTAGCAAGGTGACAGATTATTAATCCAAATAAAATCACAAAACTGAGATCAAACATGACAGCAAAAGAAACTATGAGACTAAATGGTTTTTATAGTTTTTTTTTTTTTTTTTCTTTGAGAGGGAGTCTCACTCTCATTCAGGCTGGAGTGCAATGGCATGATCTTGGCTCACTGCTGCAATCTCCACCTTCTGTGTTCAAGCGATTCTCCTGCCTCAGCCTCCCAAGTAGCTGGGACTACAGGCACATGCTACCACACCTGGCCAATTTTTTTGTATTTTCAGTAGAGACAGGGTTTTACCATGTTGGCCAGGCTGGTCTCAAGCTCTTGACCTCAGCTGATCTACCTGCTTTGGCCTCCAAAACTACTGGGATTACAGGCATGAGCCACTGCACCCAGCTGGTTTTTATAGTTTTACTGAAATACAGTTCATATATTATAAAATTGACCAACCCCAAGTATACATATATTCAGTGATTTTTCGCCTATTCAGAGTTGAACAATAATTTGTCAGACTGAATTTCTAAAAGTACCCATCTATATAATGTTTACCAGAGATGTAAACACACAGAAAAATTGAAATTCAAAGATGGGAAAAAATGTAATAAAACATATCTTAAGAAATCTAAATCCAAAATATTAAAAACCTGAATCCAGCAATGGGAATGTGCTGTATCTGTCTATGTGATCTCCATCACAAATATGTTTTTAGTATTTTGACAACTGTACCTCAATAGAAGTGGCTTGCTTTGCAATCCTTTGTATTTGGTTTTACGCATTAAAAAATATTATTTTAAGAAGAGTTCCATAGGTTCCAGATTGCCAAAAGTGTTGATGGCACACACAAACACAAAAACAGTAAGAAACTTTATACTTAAGAAACTCTTGAAGATATAAACAAGGAAACATAAACAAGAATGTTCAGAGTAGCACTGCTGGCAACAAGAAAAAGGAGAGTGAATCAATTAATTGAGGTATAGTTGCTGACAGACTTTTCTAAAAGTCCCTAAAATAACAGAACTGAAGTAACATGGACAAATTTTTTAATCTAAATGGTGGATACATGGGTGTTTGATATAATGCTCTTTAGATTACTATATCCACCACCATTATACCACACCATTTTTATTTATTCTTTTCATTTATCAATGTGAAAACTGCCTGGATCATCACCATGATGAGAAATAAAACAAAGGATGATGGAAATGGACACACAGGGAGTGTGTTTTATTTCTCTTATTTCTGCCTGTGTTTCAGCTTCTCTAAGTCGAATGGTCATCAGTTCATCTTGTAACTCATTCATAACATTTTTCTTAGGGGGGTCTTTCCAACTCCCAGTAGTACAAGCTAAGTGGCGCTAAAGCAGAAAAAAATTATATTGCAGCAAATACTCATCACCAGTCCAAATACAGACTTTTAGGAACCAGTGCCTTAAACCATCCCGCTTCCAGCAAAATCCATCCAAAATCACACTTATTAGTCAGGGACAGCATTAGTCAGGCACAATACAAATTCCTTAGGAAACCTTTCTCCAAACCACCTAGTTGAAACTAATTTTCTCCTCCTAGTCTCCATAGCAATTTCTACCTCTCTACTTAACAAATTTCTGAATTATATTAAATATAGTCTGTGCACATCTGCTTTCTCAAGTGTAAGTCCTTTAATGGCTGGGACAGTGCTTTGTGTTTCACAAGTTCTCAAAACCATGTCTGTTGGATTTGATTTATTCACCTCTACCACTGTGAAATAAATCCTCAACACTGGCTTAAGAGCTGTGTTTGCATCTTAATCTATACTAAAATATTATTACAAAAAGAAAATTTTCCATTGTAAAACTTAGATTTCTACTATTCATAATCTCAATAGTACCTCTTCCTATTTTAATTATACTATAAAATAATATGTAGAAAGCATTTTATATAGAATACAAGAAAAATCTAAGAAAATAACTTTGAACAATGCAAAACAAGATATATTTATTCTGAAGAAATTACATATTCATGTTACCATGAGATTATGATCATTTTGCACATTAGAATACAGAATGACGTATGAGTTAAGTATGCCCCCTACTGACTAAACAAATATTTTAAAAGCCAAATAACAACATTCACAGAGTATAAAGAATATGGTCCAAATAACTGTACCACATGAAAACCAAATGTGTCTTTGCCATGCAAATGGGTTTCATAAAAAAGACTTTTGCAGATCTTAAGTATACTTAAGATAGAATTTATTGGAGAGATGAGAAACCTGAGAAGAAAGAAGGGCAATTTTAGAATTCACTGCCCAGGATCACCACATTAAAACAACTTTACGAAGCATCATTCACATCATAGTATACATCTGTGGTTTCCAACTGGGGCAATTTTGTCCCCAGGGGGCATTTGGCAATGAGTGCAGAAACATTTTTGGTCATTGCAACCTGGGGTAGGAGAGACGTGAGTGGCATCTAGTGGGTACAGGCCAGGGATGCTGCTAAATATCTACAATGCACAGACCAGCTCCATAAAACCAAGTATCTTCTAGCCAAAAATGTTCAAAGTTCTGAGGCTGAGAAATTTTGCTCTCCATAGGGTTTCTTCTCAAGTCTCAGAGCAGGGCAATGCTTTGAGTTTTACTCAATAAAGTCAAATAAAATTTGACTTGCTTGAACTTTGAATGGGTTAAAGGATTAAATCTCAGAAATCAAAGATAACAATTTTTTGTCCTCTTCATTTGGCCTAGAAAACTGCAGTCTATACAGTTTCATATCGACACTGTTCACCTCTATTCTAGGGATGATACAATCTGTGCATAAACCCTCAATCAGCTAATGATACTTATAAGATACTGGGCCTTCCCATCATACCTGTGTTTCCATTTCCATCATCCTTTGTTTTATTTCTCTTATTTCTGCCTGTGTTTCAGCTTCTCTAAGTCGAATGGTCATCAATTCATCTTGTAACTCATTCATAGCATTTTTCTTAGGTGGGTCTTTCCATCTCCCAGTAGTACGAGCTAAGTGACGCTAAAGCAGAAAAAAAATTATATTGCAGCAAATACTCTCAGTATCAAAATAGCTAATATTACTGAGCACTTATTTCAGGATGTGCTATATAAAACACTTTCTACACATTATTTTATTTCATCCCTAAAAAAATCCTATTAATCAGGCACTGTTATCGTCACTTTACAGGTAAGAAAATGAACGTTGTGATTAAGTAACTTCAGGAGGATCACACAGCCAGTAAGTGGCAGATCTGGGATAGAAACTCAAATACAGTTCAATTTTTTTTCTCTATATACTGCGGATTAATTCTTGAAAAGAATACAATTTTCACTATAATTTTTTTCTTTTGAACCACACTTGTCTGAGACACTATAATTTTTTTAATGAGAGATTTTTCATATTATCTTCGATGAAATCCCAATACATCAGAAAAAAAAATGGGGCCATTAAAGAACGAATGTAAGAAGTTAAGGGCAGTGTTTCTCAAGGTATCTGTGGTAAAGGACAAGTTTTGTCTTTTTTGTTTTAAAAAATTTCAAGTTCATTGCAACCTTTTCAAAAGACAGTTAAAAAAAAAAAAGGCATGACAATGTCAAGGCCTAATTTTGGTCGTTGTATAGAACATGTACTTTGTTCCTTGTCAACATTTCCCTCATACACAAATAAATTTGTGGGCATATACCAGAAAAATGTGATTTATTTGGTAAGATAACTAAGTAAGTTACTAATTTATAGATAAAATTTATAATGTCACCCTTCTAGTGTTTCACTCTAACCAATAATGGACTTAACATTAACATAAGACAAAATATGTACTACATAGAAGAAATACTTTTACAGATTTTCAGAAAAAGTTATACAAGGCACAATGGTACAACAACAAAAATATGACTTGATTTCCACTGTATCTTTTATTTTACTATAAGAGGGAGAAAGAGCTTATATGCACTTTCAGTTTATAAATATTCTCAATTTTGACATTAAACAGGGTCAGTGAGACACTTTAAACACATCTCCTACCGTAGGTCATCAGCTACTTCAAACTCTTACAAATTTGATATTCGGGTTTTACTCTCTTTTAGAAAAGCACACAAAATATATTAATATACCTGCCAGTGTTCCTCTAAATCCTTGACTTGCTGTCTAAGTTCTTTCAAACCCATAATGGCTTCTGCTTCTCTCAGTTTCACAGCAATCAGCTCTTCCTGAAGCCTTGCAATATTATTCTCCTCAGGAAGGGAGTTATTTCTCTACGGAAGAAGAAAATTTAATTTGAAATTTTTAAATTTAAGGAATAAAACATAGCACATAAAAGAGCTATTTTGTTCCACACTTAAATGTATTTAATTTTATACAGCTGTATTGAAGTATAATTCACTAACTATGAAATTCACTCTTTTAAAATATACAAGCAAGTGGTTTTTAGAGTATTTACAGGGTTGTTAAAGATCTAATTTCAGAATATTTTTATCATGCAAAAAAGAAAACCTATGCTCATCACCAGTCATTCTACATTCCCCATTTTCCCAGGCCCTGGCAACCACCAATCTCTTCTTGTTTCCATGAATTTGCCTATTGGGACATTTCTTATAAGCGAATCATATATATTTATAGCTTTTTGTGACAACCTTACTTCACTTAGAACAATGTTTTCAAGGTTCAATCTTTTTTTTAATGCCAAATGATATTCCACTGTATAGATATACCACATTTAATCTATTTATTCATCAGTTAATAGTGTTGTTTCCACTTTTTGACTATTATAAACAATGTTGCTATGAACACTGGTGAAGAAGTTTTTGTGTAGATTTATGCTTTCACTATTCTTAAGTATATAAGTAGGAACAGAACTGCTGGCTCAGATGGTAATTATTCTGTGTTTAACTTTTAAGAAACTGCCAAACTTTCCCAAAGCAGCTGTACTGCTTTTAATTTCCACTAACAATGTATGAGGGGAACTGTACTTAATTTTGAGGACACAGAAATTTAACTCTGATTTGTTAATAAAATACTAATCAGAGTTATGGAGCAACAGGATTAAAACTTTTTTCAATATGGCAATAAACTTACTGACCTCTGATTAGACTCCAAATAAAGCATGAACATCATTTACTTTTAAAATATTTATAGAAAATAATAGTCCAAAATCTGTTTCTGTTGTATTTCCTCAGCATGTTATCTTTGAGAGTAGTTATCAATTCTCTGTGTATGTCACTATTTACATCAAGAAATACAAATTAAACTAAATTAACAACTGTTTCAAATTAAACAACTGAAATTAAACAATTTGATTCATGAATACAAGATTTATTTATTTTTATTTTTCCATAAGTTATTGGAGAACAGGTGGTATTTGGTTACATGAGTAAGTTCTTAAGCGGTGGGTGATTTGTGAGATTTTAGTGCCCAAGCAGTATACATTACACATTATTTGTAGTCTTTCATCCCTCACCCCCCTCCCACTCTTCCCCACAAGTCCCCAGAGTCCAGTGAATTATTCTTATGCTTTTGTGTCCTCATAGCTTAGCTCCCACAGTCAGTACCATGTTTGGTTTTCCATTCCTGAGTTACTTCACTTAGAATAATAGTCTCCAATCTCACCCAGGACACTGCAAATGCTGTTAGTTCATTCCTTTTTATGGCTGAGTAGTATTCCATTTTGTGTCTGCGTGTGTGTGCATACACACACACACACACCAGTTTCTTTATCGACTTGTTAACTGATGGGTATCTGGGTTGGTTCCATGATTTTGCAATTGCTAATTGTGCTGCTATAAACATGTGTGTGCAAGTATCTTTTTCAAATAATGACTTTACTCCCTCTGGGTAGATACCCAGTAGTGGGACTGCTGGATCAAATGGGACTTCTACTTTTAGTTCTTTAAAGAATCTCCATACTATTTTCCATAGTGGCAGTGGCAGTACTAGTTTACATTCTCACCAGCAGTGTAGAAGTGTTCCCTGATCACTGCATCCACGCTAACATCTACTGTTTTTTGATTTTTTTATTATGGCAAGTCTTGCAGAAATAAGGTGGTATTGCACTGTGGTTTCGATTTGCACTTCCCTGATCATTAGTGATGTTGAACATTTTTTCATATGTTTGTTGGCCATTTGTATATCTTCTTTTAAGAACTGTCTATTCATGTCCTCAGCCCACTTTTTGATTGGGACTGTTTTTTTCTTACTGATTTGAGTACATTGTAGATTCTAGATATTAGTCCTTTGTCAGATGTATAGATTATGAAGATTTTCTCCCACTCTGTGGGTTGCCTGTTTACTCTGCTGACTGTTCCTTTTGCCATGCAAAAGCTCTTTAGTTTCATTAGGTCCCAGCTATTTATCTTTGTATTAATTGCATTTGCTTTTGGGTTCTTGGTCATGAAATCCTTGCCTAAGCCAAAGTCTAGAAGAGTTTTTCCAATGTTATCTTCTAGAATTTTTTTAGTTTCAGATCTTAGCTTTAAGCCCTTAATCCATCTTGAGTTGATTTTTGTATGTAAGGTATGAGGATCCAGTTTCCTTCTCCTACATGTGGCTAGGCAACTATACCAGCACATGGATACAAGATTTTAGATTAATTTCCCACCATATTAAAAGATAAAAAGGACACAAGGTAACCCATTATCAAACTGCTCTGGAGAATTACCAAGAGATCCAAAACTAGGCTCTAGGGAAAACTCCCTAGGTAAACAGGTAAACTGAGGTAACTGCTAACACTGAGATTTCAAGGCCTGATTCTATTAAATTTTTTTTCACACACACACACACACACACACACACACACACACACACACAAATTGCACTTTAGGTTCTGGGGTACATGTGCAGAATATGCAGAATTGTTGCATAGGTACCTACATGGCAATGTGGTTTGCTACCTCCATTCCCCCGTCACCTCTATCGGGTATTTCTCCCCATGTTATCCCTCCCCAACCTCCCTTAACCACCTTGTCCCTCCCCTATTCTCCCACAACAGACCCCAGTGTGTGATGCTCTCCTCCCTGTGTCCATGTGTTCTCACTGTTCAACACCTGCCTGTGAGTGAGTACATGTGGTGTTTGATTTTCTGTTCTTCTGTCAGTTTGCTGAGGATGATGGTTTCCAGATTCATCCATGTCCCTACAAAGGACACAAACTCATCATTTTTTATGGCTGTCTAGTATTCCATGGTGTATATGTGCCACATTTTCCCTATTATCGATGGGCATTTGGGTTGGTTCCAGGTCTTTGCTACTGCAAACAGTGTCACAATGAGCATATCTGTGCATGTGTCTTTATAATGGAATGATTTATAATCCTTTGGATATACACCCAGTAATGGGATTGCTGGGTCAAATGGAATTTCTATTTCTAGGTCCTTGAGGAATTGCCACACTGTCTTCCACAATAGTTGAACTAATTTACACTCCGATCAACAGTGTAAAAGGGTTCCTATTTCTCCACATCCTCTCCAGCATCTGTTGTCTCCTGATTTTTTAATGATAGCCATTCTAACTGGCGTGAGATGGTATGTAGTTTTGATTTCCATTTCTCTAATGCCCAGTGATGATGTGCATTTTTTCATATGTTTGTTGGCCTCATAATGTCTTCTTTTTAGAGTGTCTGTTCATATCCTTCACCTACTTTTGAATGGGTTTGTTTTTTTCTTGTAAATCTGTTTTAGTTCTTTGTGGATTCTGGATATTAGCCCTTTGTCAGATGGGTAGATTGTAAAAATGTTTTCCCATTCTATTGGTTGCTGGTTCACTCTAATAATTGTTTCTTTTGCCATACAAAAGCTCTGGAGTTTAATTAGATCCCATTTGTCTATTTCAGCTTTTGCTGCCAATGCTTTTGGTGTTTTAGTCATGAAGTCCTTGCCTATGCCTATGTCCTGAAAGGTTTTGCCTAAGTTTTCTTCTAGCGTTTTCATGGTGTTAGTCTTATGTTTAAGTCCTTAATCCATCTGGACTTAATTTTAGTGTAAGGTGTCAGGAAGGGGTCCAGTTTCTGCTTTCTGCACATGGCTAGCCAGTTTTCCCAACACCATTTATTAAACAGGGAATCTTTTCCCCATTGCTTGTTTTTGTCAGGTTTGTCAAAGATCAGATGGTTGTAGATTTGTGGCATTACCTCTGAGGCCTCTGTTCTGGTCCATTGGTCTATATCTGTTTTGGTACCAGTACCTTGCTGTTTTGGTACTAGTACCTTGCTGTTTTGATTACTGCAGCCTTGTAGTATAGCTTGAAGTCATGTAGTGTGATGCCTCCAGCTTTGTTCTTTTTGTTCAGAATTGTCTTGGCTATGCAGGCTCTCTTTTGATTCCATATGAAGTTTAAGGTGGTTTTTTTCCAGTTCTGTGAAGAGGGTCACTGGTAGCTTGATGAGGATAGCACTGAATCTATAAATTATTTTGGACAGTATGGCCATTTTCAATACTGATTCTTCCTAACCGTGAGCATGGAATGTTTTTCCATCTGTTTGTGTCCTCTCATTTCTTTGAGCAGTGGTTTGTAGTTCTCCTTGAAGAGGTCCTTTACATCCTTTGTTAATTGTATTCCTAGGTATTTTATTCTCTTTGTAGCAATTGTGAATGGCAGTTCATTCTTGATTTGGCTCCCTTTAAGTCTGTTAATGGTGTATAGGAATGCATGTGATTTCTGCACATTGATTTTGTATCCTGAGATTTTGCTGAAGTTGCTTATCAGTTTAAGGAGATTTTGGGCTGAGACAATGGGGTCTTCTAAATATACAATATGTTGTCTGCAAATAGAGACAATATGGCTTCCTCCTTTCCTAATTGAGTATGCTTTATTTCTTTTTCTTGCCTGATTGCTCTGGCTAGAACTTCCAATACTATATTGAATAGGAGTGGTGAGAGAGGGCATCCTTTTCTAGTGCCAGATTTCAAAGGGAATGCTTCCAGTTTTTGCCCATTCAGTATAATATTGATTGTGGGTGTGTCATACATAGCTTTTATTATTTTGATACGTTCTGTTGATACCTAGTTTATTGAAAGTTTTTAGCATAAAAGGCTGCTGAATTTTGTCGAAGGCCTTCTCTGCATCTATTGAGATAATTATGTGGTTTTTGTCTTTGGTTCTGTTTGTGTGGTGGATTATGTTTATAGACTTGTGTATGTTGAACCAGCCTTGCATTCCCTGGATGAAGCCTACTTGATCGTGATGGATAAGCTTTTTGATGTGCTGTTGCAATTGGTTTGCCAGTATTTTATTGAAGATTTTTACATCTATGTTCATCATGGATATTGGCCTAAAGTTTTCTTTTTTTTATTGAGTCTCTGCCATGTTTTGGTATCAGGATGATGTTGGTCTCATAAAATGATTTGGGAAGGATTCCCTTGTTTTTTTGGAAATTTTCTCTCTCTGATATTTCATGGTGCACATGTAGCTTTCTGCTCACAGGGATGATGAAATGGAGCTATTCTTGCCAATTATACATTCTTATGATGGACTTTAAATATTTTCTCAATGGAAAACCAAAAATTTACTGCATATGTATTTAAAAGATTGCTAGCAAAAAAGAAAAAAGAGGATGCTGTATGAAGATATTACTATAGGAAGCATGCTACCTTTTTCTACTTTATAATGTAAAAACACAGCCACCGAAGAAATCCATTTTTGACTGGAACCCAAATACAATTCTACCCAATATTCAAAATCTGTCTAACTGTAAGACACAAATTCTTATCTAAATCATGTAACCGAGAACACACCTAAGTTAGGGACCAAATATTCAGTTATGCATTCCTTTCAGCATTCTTGCTGGCTTTTTTTTTTTTCCAACAAATCAAGAGAATACATTTTCCAAAAATATAAAAATAGCAAGCCATTTTCTAGCAAAATTATTCCACTACTGATTCTAGTTATACTTGTTCTAGTTCATTAAGAAAATAGTTAAAAACACCTGAGACTGTTATGTCCATTATCTATTAGCTTTTTGGATTCAATAGCTAGCTATTACCTACATGTAAAAAGGAACAAACAACACAGACGCCAAGTCACCAATAATTTGATAGATGAGAAACAAGAGATTCAGGGACTGTGATCTAGAACTTTTAAATCTGAAAGTTATAAGAAACCTGAAGTTCTTTTACTCCCATTACTTACCTAATTTTTGATGTTCTTTAATATCCTTAAAGGAAGTTAGCCTGTAAGTACACCACAGGCTGAAAGGAAATTCCTACATATCCTGAGGTAACTTGTTCTGGATTGGACAGTTCTAACAACTACATTCAGATGAAATTTTCCCTAAAATGTCTATGTGTTAGTCCTATTCTATCTCTTCCACACGAAAATACTACAATAGTTGAAGACAAGAGTTGATTTCTGTCACCTGAATTTCTTTTCTGCAACATTTAGATATTCTTTTTATGAAAATTATTCTGGTTGCTTTTCTACAAAAGGGCTCTAATCTCCATTTTTATCCTTAAATCTGGGGCTTTGATTAGTATGAAGGCAACAAGGAATAACTGACAATTTTAAAAGTCTTTTCTTCCTTTTCTCTCTTAGTAACTAATATGTAAGGTTTCTAATGTGTAAAAACACCAAGTCAATTAAATTGCTCAGTACCTTATAAACATTACATATCCCCTCTAATTTGGGAGTGACTACATTTGCGTAGGTTTCTTACCTTCTCTATATCCAAGACTTTATCCTGCATCTCTTTTAGTGCACACTGAGACTCAGCTTCACTCAGTCGGGCTTGAACTAATTCCTTCTCTAGCTGTAGCACAAAATCTTCATTGTAGTTGGAACCGCATTTATGCTAAAGGTTACAGACATATTCTGAAATTTCATGGAAGTATAAACATGCATATATAGTAAAAACAATGCAACTACATAATGCAGTTATATTATATTAAGGGCAACTAAATAGGTGAAGTTCCATCTACCCAATATTTCCAGCATATCTCCTCCAATTAACTTTTCAATGAGTAAAAAAGCTGAACTTTGATATCTATAAAGATGACCAGATTATTGGGTTTTGGTAACTAGTTATTACAATGATCAAATATGATTCATATAAGACAAACATCTCCTTTTCTCTGTCCATCCATCCAGATACTAAGAATTTGTTCTGACTTTACAGACCTGCACCACACAACAAATAGGATAGCAATTAGCCACATGTGGCTACTGAACACTTGGGGCTAATCCAGATTAAAACAAGTTGTAAGTATAAAATACAAACTGGATTTTGAAGACTTGATGTGAAATACAAGAATAAAACATCTCAATGATTTTTATATTGTTTACATGTTAAAACAGTATTTTGAATGTACTGAGGTAAATAAAAATATTTTTACCTTTTTTACTCCTTTTAATGTGGCAATTAGAAAATTTTACATTGCATATGTGACATATTATTATTGCTATATTGCTACTATTCTGTAGTTCTGTTATATACTACAGAAGACATGTAAACATTACAAAAAATTGTATTTTAATCTAATGAGGAAAAAAAACAGTGTACTGGCCAGGCACAGTGGCTTATGCCTGTAATCCCAGCACTTTGGGAGGCTGAGGCAGGTGGATCACCTGAAGTCAGGAGTTCCAGACCAGCCTGGCCAACATGGTGAAACCTTGTCTCTACTAAAAATACAAAAATTAGCTGGGTGTGGTGGTGCATGCCTGTAGTCCCCACTACTAGGGAGGGTGAGGCAGGAGAACTGCTTGAGTCCAAAGGTGGAGGTTGCAGTGAGCTGAGATCATCATGCTACTATATTCAAAAGACTCTGTCTCAGAAATTTAAAAAAAAAAAAAAAAAAAAAAACAGAAACAAAAACACACATGCATGGAAGGATAACTGCTGGAAGCAGAGAAGCAGCAGATGCTGCAAAAAGAAATTAACCATGGAAGTATGCAAGCTTCCCATTTCCTTTCGATAAAAACACTTAAGTCGTCATTTTCAAGCCAATACCCATACAAAAGCTTCTGTACAAAAGCAATACGGAATTCATCATAATAGAAGACTTTCTAAAATAAACCATCTATCACTTCACATTTAATTCATTTAGTAAAGAAAATGTGGCAACTCAAAATTTCAAAATAAAGTCACTAAAAAAAACTACTGAACTAGCATGAATAAAGCATGGTTATTTTTAGTCTTTAATATGTTAGGAACAAAATAATAGATGTCAAATTAAAACTATTAAAGATTACTAGATGCTTAATTAAAATATATGGTACTCTCCTGTCCCAGTTTACCAAAAAAATGTGCAAAGGAGGACTTTAATTCAATGCATTATACATTATTTCTTCCAGTAATTTTGATATGATTGAAACAATATTTCAATACAAGTACATCTGCAACAGAAACATCATCTTAACAAATACTTACATCAATTAAGACCTTTGGAATAACCACATCCAAACTGGACATGCCGTAATTTATTTAATCAGATCATAGTTAGTTCATTGGTACTGGTAGAATATTTTTGTCCTCAACTTAAAGTCCTGGCAACTGTAGTACAGGTTTGCTTGCTAAGACTTTATATTAGGAGATCCCCAAGAAAACACTGAACTCAAAAGGCCCATATGAGAATGGAATTCTTGATTGGTATAAACCAACTAATCCAATGAAGTACAAAAAACTATGGTAATATTGGGAACAAATCTTTATTAAACTTTACAGAGAATTGAAATGCTCTGATAACAAGTCATTCTCAAAAATATATATCTTACGATTTTTATACACTAAAAATATTATTTTAGTGTTCTGGATTAAAATAATTCTAAACACATTATGTAATTTTTTGCCACTGACAGAGTCGACAGAATATAATTCTTTATTCTCAGGTCATCATCATGATGACCAATTAACACACTGCAAATTATACAGGGTCTAAGGAATACAGAGTATTTCTGGTGATATAACAGATAAAACATGAATCTGTACCTTTTTAAGATTTTTTATACCTCTTTTAATTTTCTCACCAACTTTCCCTCTGTTGTCATTTTCTGTAACTTTTTATCCTAGTTTTATCTTGGTTCTCTCATCTTGATGCTTATTCTTGCCTGTATGATCAGTCACCTGCTTCACTCTCTTATCCCTTGAGTCACTTTGAGACTCTTTGGGAATCATATAAGGTCCACAGGACTCTCTTTTCCAAAAAAAAAAAAAAAATTGTATTCACAGTATTTTAGATACAATTTCAGACTTCTCTGAAGCTTCCATATATTTCAACTTAAGAATCTCTGCTCCTACAAGGTACTCTAATTCCCGGGCTATTTTTATGATCATTAATTCAATGTAAGAGACTATACTGGATCTCTAATACCAAGTATTACCATTCTCAGAAGTTCTTGCTTCTGACTTGTGGTCATTTCCACACAAATGTTCCATATTCAAAATCAAACTGAATTAAAAGGTTGATTGTCATCTTCCCCAAATCACTGCTTTTCCTTGAATTCTCTATTTGCCGCTGGCCTAAAATCCATTACACGGCCCCCTAGTGTTGCTGCCTGTCATGGAACAATAAGCTATTTTTTTTTTTTTTTGGCTATAGAATCTTGCACTTGTCATTTTTTTCATTTCCCACCATTACCCTAGTATCTGATGTCTGCATTTCCATTTTGACCCATTGTGTATGCTGGCACCAGAGTGCCCCAAATCACCACTTTAAGTCATGTAATTCCTTAAATCAAAAACATATAATTGTCCTTTATTCAGCTCTTACCTTCACTGGACAGTCTAGGACATCGAACACACTGGTCACTCTTACCTATAACTCCTCCCCTTAGATTTTCAGGCATTACTATTGTTGATCTCCTGCCTATTTTCTGTCTTCCCTGTGAATTCTACTTCATGTAACTGTGTATGTGTATGTGTATGTGTATGTGTATGTGTATGTGTATGTGTATATATCAATCCGTAGTCTCAAGGGTTTCATCACTGTGTTGTCTCTCAATTTTTCCTTTTTTTCTTATTTTATAATTATCCCTACATTATTTGAGGTACTGTCTGTAGAGTCTATGTATTTAGGAAGTATCAGATCTATATATTGTCTAGATCTATATATTGTCTACAAAGACAATGAATAAAATCACCAAGGAACAATTTATAAAACAGTAAAAAGGGGAAGGTAGAAAGAAACAGAGACAGAGAGACAGGAGGCATGTAATGATAGAAACTTGCAGGGGGGAAAAAGAGAAAGAAAAAGGAGGGGAGAGTAGAGGAGGGGAGGGGAGGAGACAAGGAGAAAAAGGGGAAAAGAGGGAGGAGAAGCGGCAGGAGGAGGAGGAGGAGAAGGAAGAGGAGGAGAAAGTAGGAAGAGGAGAAGGTGAGAAAGGGGAGGAAGAAGAGAAAGAGGAGGAGGAAGAGGAGAAGAGAGGAGGAGAATGGAGGGGAGAGGATCCAAGTATGGATTTGTGATGACTCTCAAATCCATATTTCCAGCCAAGACCTTTCTACTAAGCTACAGATCCACATTTATCCACATTTACAACTTCCTACTGGTCAATTCCATCTGGCTGGCTTCATATTCATCTCATATTCAACATGTCAAAACTGAACTCTCCATCTTTTCTTCCTCATGTATTTACTATCCTGTTAAGGACACCCCAATCTCACAAGAGTTCAAGTCAAAACTCTTCTATTCAACCCGTACCACCCAATCACAATATCTCACTAATTTTTCTTCCAGTTATTTTGTTAATTTGCTCCTCTCATCTTCATTGCCGTTATTTTTATTCCTGCCCTCATCTCTTTCTTTGGATTACTTCAGTGGTCTCATATACACTCCCTCCTAACCAGTGCAGCACTTACTGTGGGTATTGTTATTTAATATATTATGCTACCTCTCAGACTAGATTGTAATGAATAGAAGGCATTTTTACAATTCCACCAACTGGATCAGGTAGGTGTTTTCTGCAGCTACTGTTTTGAGCCTGAGAAAGTTTTGATTCTATGATTATTAATGTGAACATGTTAATGAAAAGTATACGCTTTAATATTAACAAAGAATCTAATTCCATGAAGCCAACTTCATTCCATTACCAATTTTCCTATATACCAATTAGCCCTGTCCAATTCTATCCACATCGACTTTTATTGGTATTTTCATTAGGATCAATTCTTAATGGGTAAATTTTGCAAATAAGTTTAAATTTATTAACTAGATGTTTTATTGTTGTTGTTTGTTCCAGTCCAAATTTGACCCATTAGAACTCCTGAATTGAATTTTCTTTTTTGGGCATTATTTCTACCATTTCTGAACTTTCCTGTTCAAATTTCTGCAGATCTAAATTTGGTCAGGAAGGTGATACTTCTTTTAATATTTAGTCTATGAAAATTTTTACTGTATCATTTTTAGCTCTTTGTAAGTTTTGGCTTTAGTTATTGGCAGCCTATGACATTGGCTAAGCAAACTGGTAGAATTGTGATAATGGAATAATGTTAATAATACTCCTAATAATTGCTACCATTCACTGAACACTCACTATGTACCAGGCATTTTCCAGAGTATCAATTCACTTAAGTCTCAATAACTTTCTATTATAATTACCTCTGTTAAACACAGGACATGCTGTGGCACAGAAAGGTTAAATAACTTATTCAAAGGCACACAACCAATGAGTAGCAGAATTCCTATTAAAACGACAACATGAATAGATTCGGCTGTGAACTATAAATTATCTGAAGCTAGCCACTGCAGTTTCAATTTATTCTATTTTCCACAAGGAAAATAAACAGTTTTATAAACAGGTTTTAATGTTTGACAGTAATAATGATTATGATAGCAGCTAACGTCTACTGAGCGCTTACTATGTGCCAGACATGTTAAGCACTTTGTATTTGCCTTTAACCTTCACCACAATACCACCTTACTAATAAGGAAACTAATAGGGTGCCCCAAGTTCAAACAGCAATTGATAGTGCTATTAATTGAGAGTTTGTATTACAGAGTCCATGTTCCTTACCTTTAAGCCATATAGGTCTTGAAGAGCTTAATATATCTTTAATATATACTTTTGTAAAATCTAATGATATAATACTAAAAAAATCTAAACTTCTACAAAAATCTAAGCATACAGATCTCACATAATATTCTTGTATTAAGAAATTCCTAGAACAGTACATTTCACATTCAAGTGAGTAACTTGGACAGATATGAATTTAAATATACATTAAGCTTTTAATTAAGTTCAAGATACAACATTTATATGTTCCTTTCAGGAACCCAAACATTTCATGGAACCCTGTTCTCAACTCTTTTGTAACACTTATCACAAATCTAAATAATAAATTTTGCATATTGCCCAAAGTAATTTATAGATTCAATGCTATTCCCATCAAACTACCATTGACATTCTTCACAGAATTAGAAAAAAAAAAACTACTTTAAATTACATATGGAACCAAAGAAGAGCCCGTGTAGCCAAGACAATCCTAAGCAAAAAGAACAAAGCTGGAGGCATCATGCTACCTGACTTCAAACTACACTACAAGGTTACAGTAACCAAAATAGCATGGCACTGGTACCAAAACAAACATACAGACCAGTGGAACAAAACAGAGACCTCAGAAATAACACCACACTTCTACAACCATCTGATCTTTGACAAACCTGACAAAAACAAGCAATTGGGAAAGGATCTCCTATTCAATGAATGGTGCTCGAAAAACTGGCTAGCCATATGCAAAAAACTGAAACCAGATCCCTTCCTTACACTTTATACAAAAATTAACTCGAGCTAGATTAAAAACTTAAATGTAAAACCCAAAACCATAAAAACCCTGGAAGAAACCTAGGCAATACCATTCAGGACATAGGCACGAGCAAAGACTTCATAATGAAAACACCAAAAGCAATGGCAATAAAAGCCAAAACTGACAAATGGGATCGAATTAAAGAGCTTCTGCACAGCAAAAGAAACTATCATCAGAGTGAACAGGTGACTTACAGAATGGGAGGAAATTTTTGCAATCTACCCAACCGACAAAGGTCTAATCTCCAGAATCTACAAGGAACTTAAACAAATTTACAAGAAAAAAAGCCATCAAAAAGTGGGCAAAGGATATGAACAGCACTTCTCAAAAGATGATATTTACAAGGTCAAAAAACATATGAAAAAAAAAGCTCAACATCACTGATCATTAGAGAAATGCAAATCAAAACTATAATGAAATACCACCTCATGCCAGTCAGAATGGTGATTATTAAAAAGTCAAGAAACAATTGATGCTGGTGAGGCTGTGGGCAGATAGGAATGCTTTTACAGTGTTCGTGGTAAAGTAAATTAGTTCAACCACCATGGAAGACAGTATGGTGATTCCTCAAGGTTCTAGAACCAGAAATAACATTAGGCCCAGCAATCCCATTACTGGGTATATACCCAAAACAATATAAATCATTCTACTATAAAGACATATGCACATGTATGTTTACTGCAGCACTATTTACAATAGCAAACACTTGGAACCAACCCAAATGTCCATCAATGACAGACTGGATAAAGAAAGTGTGGTACATAAACACCATGGAATACTATGCAGCCATAAAAAGAAATGAGATCATGTCTTTTGCAGGGACATAAAACCATCATCCTCAGCAAACTAACACTGGAACAGAAAACCAAACACCACATCTTCTCACTCATAAGTGGTAGTTGAACAATAAGAACACATGGACACAGGGAGGAGAACAACAAACACCAGGGCTTGTTGGGGGGTGGGGAGGAAGAGGAGAGAAGTTAGAGGATGAGTCAATAGATGCAGCAAACTACCATGGCTCATGTATACCTATGTAACAAACCTGCATGTTTTGCACACGTATCCTAGAATTTAAGGTAAAATTTTTTAAAAAATTAATTGTGCAATTAATTTTTTAAATGTTTAAAAACATTTGGTTCTGGTTAACAGAACCACACAGTGTTTTTCATAGGTAGGTGAGCAAAATATATCTGCTAAATGAATCAGCTAGTTAACTCTTGGTTTAACAACAAAACCCCTGTATTATATATTTGACATTAAATATGGGAAGTGGAAGTTGAATCCTGCGGGGGAAAAAAAATCTATAAAAGTGATGGTTAATCTATTTGAAATGCCCAACCAGAAATCTTGAAGCACTTTCCCAAAACAAAATAATGATACAATGTTTCCATTTGTTCCAAAACAAAATTTGTAAAAATATGGGAAGATGGCACATTTGGACCAACGTATCCAAAAGCATCTGAAAAAAAGTTACACAAAGCAAGTACTCTGGAATAGGTTTCTAGACCACAAAACTACAGCAGAAAAAAATAAAAAGTATATCTTGCTCTCCCTCAGCATATGACTTCAAAAAGATGCTTATAATCCTCCCTACCACATGCTGTAAACAGGATTTTTAAAACCCCAAGCAATATGATTGCACAATTTAAATATTTCCTACACTAAATTTGTTGAAAAATATATAATTTTTATATGATTTGTGCTCAACATCCAAAAATTACATACATCCTTTAAGAAGATATTTACCTCTGGTTATTTATGTAACTATAAAATTTTTTGTTGTTAATGCTGAAGAAAATGTAAAGTAACCCCTCCCTTATTATTTAAACTAAAAGGAAAATATGATCACATAGGAATGTAAACATTTTATCCTTAGACTAAGGTCAAAATTGGTTCTGGAAAAAAATCTCTGTCCAGATTTATAGGTATAGTGACCAAAAGTTGAAGAATTTACCAAATTGTATGTGTAAAGTCATCTATCTTGGATTTTTAGAGAGACCTGTATCAACTAATTTCCATGTTCCTAAAGAAAAACAAACCCACCAGGTGTATCAGGTGTGGGTAATTCCTAAATGCTACTGAACAAACATTTTCTAAAGCACATTATCTAGAAGAATTCACAACTTCAGTGTTAAACAGGTAGTTTGAATTTTATTAACATTTATTTATGTGTTTAATCCAGGTAAGGTGGGTTTATATTCCTATCAAATCCTTGGTTCTTAAAAGTCCTACATAAGCTGGGCGTGGTGGCTCACGCCTGTAATCCCAGCACTTTGGGAGGCCGAGGCGGGTGGATCACGAGGTCAAGAGATCGAGACCATCCTGGTCAACATGGTGAAACCCCGTCTCTACTAAAAATACAAAAAAAAAAAAAAAATTAGCTGGGCACGGTAGTGCATGCCTGTAATCCCAGCTACTCAGGAGGCCGAGGCATGAGAATTGCCTGAACCCAGTAGGCGGAGGTATCGCGCCGTTGCACTCCAGCCTGGGTAACAAGAGCAAAACTCTGTCTCAAAAAAAAAAAAAAGTCCTACGTAATTCCTTGATGTTCTCTATAGAATTACAGAAAAGGGAGGGAAGGTCAGAAGAATTCTGTCTAGTCTCCCTTTCTAGTATGAAGGTCCCAAGAACTTCAAAAGGCAGTCATGTCAGCATTCAGCGAACTTTTAACTCAAATTCCTCCTTACTTATGCTGAACTAAACTGCATATAAAAACACCTGAAAGAGAAGACCAAGAACAGCTCGACAAAACAGCGTAATAAAAATACCTGAATGATAAGCAGTCAGAGGTAGGTAAAAAAGCTTTTAAATAGATCAAGCTAGATTCAGACAGTTGGTTTCATTAGAAAAAGCTGTCCAACATAAACACATTTGTTCCACACTACATTAGGAAGAGTCCAATGTGCAACTGTATGACGTATCATTGGAAGATTTCTGCGTGTAGGGGATTCTTGGAAAAACTCATATGGAGCATGTAAAATACTTGAAGGGACAGTTTAATCTGTATGCTCACTTTGATCTTATGCTTAGTTTTAAATTATTTATTTAATTTATTATTTAGTGCACTAAATACCAAACTCAATAATAAATTAACTCAATTTTTTTTTTTTTAAGAGAGACAGGGTCTTGCTCTGTCGCCCAATCTGGAGTGCAGTGTCATCGTCTATGATCACTCAAGAGATCCTCCCACATCTGCCTCCTCAGTAGCTAGGACTTATAGGCACGTGCCACCATGCTTGGCTAATTTTTTAAATTTCTTGTAGAGACAGGGTCTTGCTATGTCACTAGTCTTGAACTCCTGGCCTCAAGCAATTCTCCCATCTTGTCTCTCAAAGTGCCATGGTTACAAGCATGAGTCACTGTGCCTGGCCTTCAAATCATTTTGAAAACTAACAATATTAGGTTCAAACTATCAAGTGCCAGTGTAAAATGGAGGTAGTGACCTATTAAAGACAATCATTCTATAACTGGAACTGCAGAAACACTTGTTAAAGAATGCCAGTGCTCAAATTAGTTAAAAATAAACTCTACCTTTCAAAAACTCCTACTCAAAAGTTTAATGCACTATTGTAAGATAACTATAGCATATCATTGTACCAATAGGATTAAAACTATTAAGAATAATATGAAATACTGAATAAAAGTCAACAAATTTTTAGTAACATAATAGAGTCCATAATGAGTCAGAGGAAGCTAGAGATATTAAAAGGGAAAAAAGAGAAAGATTCTTGTTTAGAGCTAATAAATGTAGAAAAATGAGAGAATATGAAAATCACCATTTTGGAAACCTAATGTAATAACTGATTCCGTAAGGATCATCTGTGGAGGGTAAAACCATTAGGTAAAAGGTAGACGGAGAACAAGATAGTTATCTGGTGCAAAAATATTTCCAACAGATCACTTAATAGTTGCAAACATGAAATCATACCTTTTACAAGGGAGAGACCCTGTGATAACCAAACCTAGCATGGAAATCAAACTCAGCATCACTAATAGTGGGCACAATTTATATCATGTGCCTTCCTGATTTAAAGCAAAAAGAAGTTTACAACATCATCTATGATCTAAATGTTTAACTGAGTCTAGTTTACAAGAAATAAAATGACACTAGGAGGAAGGAATTAGACAAATCTAGAATATGAAACAAGACAACTGGGCCATGTCTGTAAAAAGTTAATGTCATTCCTGACATTGGTTTTTCTTCCATCTTAATTAGTCAGTCTGGACAGAGATTTGTCAAGTTTACTACTGATCATTTCAAGAAACCCGCTTTTGGTTTCACAAATTTTCTCAACTTTTATTTTCAATTTAACTGCTACTTTTTTTTATTTGTCCATTCTGCTTGGTTAGCTTGAATTTGCTTTATCTGTCTAGTTTCTTAAGGTGGAAGCTTAGATTTTGAGACTTACTGACTTGCCTAATGTTATATACACTTAATACATTTTCCACTTCATATTATAAGAACTTAATACATTTTTCACTAAACATTGCATTAGATGGTTCCTACAAATTTTTAGATGTTGTGTCTTCATTTTCATTTACTTAAAATATGTTCTAATTTCCTTTTAGACTTCCTCTTTGACCCATGGGTAAAAATGTATTATTTCCAACTATTAGGGGATTTTCCAGATACCTATTATTAATTTCTAACTGAATGCTGTTAGAGTCAGCAAAGATCCTTTGTATAATTTCATTTATTTCAAATTTGATAAAGTTTCTCTTATGGCCCAGAATATGTTCTATATTTATACATCTTCCATGTATGCTTGAAAATAATATGTATTCTGCTGTTATTAGGTACAGTGTTCCATAAATATCTATCAGGGCAGGCTGGATGATAGTACTGTTCAGGTCTTCTATAACCATACTGATCTGCTACCTACTTGCTTTATCAATTACTGAGACAGGGGTGCTGAAGACTTGAACTGTAATTGTGAATTTGTTCACTCTACCTTTCAGTTCTATCAGTTCAGTCTAATGTTCCTATTAGCATACATGTATTAGGTGACATACATTCCTAAGCACACATCATCTTAAATAGGACTGTTATGTCTTCTTGGTGAACTATCATTATAGATAGTCCTCTTTACTCCTGGTGCTATTCCTTGTTCTGAAGTCTACCTTGTCCATGATACTAATGCAGACACTCCAGGCTTTTATTTGCTTAGATTTCCATATGATACCCTTTTCATCCTTTTAATTTTTTTCCATTTGAAATTAAAATATTGGTCCATGTGTGGTGGCTTGCACCTGTAATCCCAGCGCTTTGGGAGACTGAGGCGAGTGGATCATGAAGTCAGGAGTTCGAGATCAGCCTGGCCAATATGGTAAAACCCTGTCTCTACTAAAAATACAAGAAATTTGCTGGGCGTGGTTGCATGCACCTATAGTCTCAGCTGCTCAGGAGGCTGAGGCAGGAGAACTGCTTAAACCTGGGAGGCGGAGGTTGCAGTGAGCCAAGATCATGCCACTATACTCCAGCCTGGGTGAACAGAGCAAGATTCCATCTTTAAAAAAAAAAAAGAAAGAAATTTAAATATTGGTGTCCAATAATAATAAGCAGACCATCATTCACTCCTAGAAATTCACTGTGGGCAAAAGTCACTGTCATTAGTTATCAAGCTCTATGCATTTCCAATAGCTACACAGCAACCTACTTTGGCCTCTGTAATTTCTAATCTTTGCAACTGAGACTACTTCACCCCTACCTACAGACTCAGATTCACTGATATTTTGGGACCAACCTTATTTCTAACTAGAAGAACAAAAAGAATCTTATGTTTGCTCTATTCCGGCACATTAAATTGAGCTATCCTATCCAAATATCACATCCCCAAATTACATCTAATCTTAGCTGTGGATAATTGCCCCCATATTCATCCTCACAGCACACGCTCTAAGCTGCTCTCCCATTAATCTACTAAACACTGGTATTCCAAATTCATGTCTCTTATTTCTTAATCCCCTTGCCTTTGGGCTATAGTTCTATAGGCCACTGGTCTGATAATCTGTTGAGACTCACTTCTATTCCTGCCACCCAACCTGCTCTGCTTGACTTCATGTCACATTCTCCCTTGTAAATCTCAATGCAACCACAACTCTAATCAAGACCTGCCCAAACCCAGATGTAAGTGAATTTCCTAATCCTCCCAGGCTCCTCATGCAAACCAGATCACTTGTTGCTGGTTCTACCCTGACCCTCACCAATGGGTTCTAGTACTGGGACTTTATATGTTCCCCCATACACTCATCTTCTACTGCAATTACTCAAATGTGTCATGTTTCCTTAAGCTCTATACTGTCATTTATTTCATCTTTTTTTTTTTTTTTTGGAGATAGAGTTTCTCTCTTACTGCCCAGGTTGGAGTGCAATGTCATGATCTTGGCTCACTGCAACCTCACCCTCCCGAGTTCAAGTGATTCTCCTGCCTCAGCCTCCTGAGTAGCTGGGATTACAGGAAGGCACCACCACACCTGGCTAATTTTGTATTTTTAGTGGAGATGGGGTTTCTCAATGTTGGTCAGGCTGGTCTCAAACTCCTGACCTCAGGTGATCTGCTTGCCTCAGCATCCCAAAGTGCTGGGATTACAGGCGTAAGCCACTGCGCCTGGCCTCATCTTTTTAAAAACAATTCATTGAAGCAAAATTCTAATAATCATTTTAAATACTGTTTGTTTAACTTCAAAAACATTTCAGCATTCTAAACATACCAAGAAAAACCCCAGAATGCTGAAAATCACATTTAAGTACAGAAGGTTCTTGAACTTTCATTGATGGCAGTGGCTCTTCATTTTGCTGACAACAGTTCTATAGCTTGTTCAAAAAGTTTAACTAAAAAAATCCAAACACTTCTCAGGCTAGCTAACCCCTCTTTGTCCACAGTTAAGAATGGTAGCAGAGTGTTATATTACCATATAGGAACAGGACAAGCTGAAGCTAAATGGATACACATTGCAGGGGAAACAGGACTAGCCTCACAGTGCACACTCTAAGCAATGACCCCTCCAAAAGGTGGTGTCCCCACAGGCTCAGTGCCAAGGAATGAGCACCAAGTGTTTGTCTTGGTTGTTTTGCTCTTTTTACAAACAATATATATGTACAGTTGATAACTGGATTTCTGCTAATAACCTATAGTTGACACTACTTTACAAATGCTTTAAAAAATGCCAGAAACATCTTTAAATGCCTTGTCACACCAACAGCAAAGTGCATAGAGTGAGGAAAACACAAGATTATCTTTGTATTTTTAGGATGTTTGGAAATATATACAACTTTGATACAATTTCAGAGTGTTCCAGACGCACATGGACACTTCATGTAAACCACTGACAAATTTTAGAGCACTCTCTCATATAACTGTGATAGAAATTTATAATTAAACCTAATGAGGCAACAGACATTTCTCAAACAACTGATGTGTCAATTACAGCATTCCCCTACTCTAAGGAATTAACAAGGAGAAAGATAAACAGTTTTTTATTCATCATCACCTTCTTCTTCCTCTTCCTCCTCCTCATCCTCTTTGCCATCTTCCACCTTTTTCCAGGGAACTTTAGCAGGACCCTTTGTACCAGACTTGCTGTTAGCCTTAAAGTCAACAACATCCTTCTCATATTTCTCCCTCAGCTTCACTGCCTTAGTGATGCAAGGCTGCTTTTCACTGACACTTAAGTTATTCCACATCTCACCCAGCTTTTTTGCTACATCTCTAATAAAGATGCCAGGGTTTGTGGATTTGATCTTGAGGCAAAATTCTGAACAGTAAAGGAAAAATCCAGATGGTGGCCTTTTGGGAACATGAAGGTCCTTCTTCTTGCCTCACTCAACTGGTTCACAATCCTTCATCTTCCAATCATAGCATACTTTATCTACCTTTGTCATTTCATCGAATTTAGGGTTCTCTTTCCCAGACATTGTCTTCCACTTCTCAGAGCACTTCTTGGAAAATTCTGCAAAATTGACAGAGACCTCTGGGTTTTTCTTACATTCTTCTCTGCATGTCTGCACAAAGAAGGCAGAAGCAGACATCTTTCCCTCTGGTTTCTTGGAGTCACTTTTAGCCATCTTGAGTAAAAGCTTCTTCCTTCCTGGTCACCCAGCAAAAGAGAAGATGAAGGTGGCAAGAAGGGTACATGGAGGAAAGGCAGGGGGTCAAATAAACATTTTTTAGTGGGGGGGAGCGTGATTGAATTTCTCCCTATTGCCCAGGCTAGAGTGCAGTGGCACAGTCTCAGCTCACTGCAACCTTCACCTCCCAAGTTCAAACAATTCTCATGTCTCAGTCTTCCAAGTAGCTGGGATTAGAGGTCTGCACCATCATGCCCAGCTAAATTTTATATTTTCAATAGAGATGGGATTTCACCATGTTGGTCAGGCTGGTCTGAAACTCCTGGCCTTAGGTGATCTGCCCATCTCGGCCTCCCAAATTGCTGGGATTACAGGTGTGAGCCACCATGCCTGGCCTTAAATAACCATTTTAAAGTGAACAAATGAGGGTCTTACCATACATTAAGAATGTTGTACAACCATCCATATTTAGTTCCATATCATTTCCATTGTTCTAAAGTAAAACCCTTTACCTATTAAGCAGTTTATTGTCCTTCATCCACCACCACCTTCTGGAAATCACTAATCTATGTTCTGTTCTCTTTAGATTTATCTATTCTAGATTATTTCCTATAAATGGAATCATACAATATGTGATCTTTTGTGTCTGGCTTTTTTCACTTAGCTTAAGATTTTGGAAGTTCATCTACTTTACAGCATGTATTAGTACTTCATTCCTTTTTATGGTTGAATAATATTCCATTGTGTGTATACAACAATTTGCTTATCCATTCATCACTGATGGACTTTTGGGCTGAGTCTACTTTTCTGTGAATACTGCTACTACAAACGTATATATGTGTACTTGTTTGAGTGCAAACATTCTCTTACTTTGGGTACATACCTATGAGTTGAATAGCAGGGTATCATGGTAATTCTATGCTTAACTTTTTGAGAAACTGCCAAACTGTTTTCCACAGCAGCTTTATATTTCATTATATATTCCTATCAAAAAATATATGAGGGTTTCATCTTCTCCACTTCATTGCCAACATGTTTTTTAAAAAATTACAGCCATCCATTATAATGGATATGAAGAGGCACCTCATCATGGTTTTGCTCTGCATTTCCCTCACGACTAATGATATTGAACATCTTTTCATTTGCTTTTTGGCCATCTGTATATCTTCTTTGGAGAAAAGTCCACTCAAGTCTTTTGCCCATTTTATAACTGCGTTGTCTTTTTGTTGCTGAGTTGTAAGAGTTCATGATATACTCTAGATGGTAGATCCTTATCAGTTCTACAACTTGCAAATATTTTCTGCCATTCTATAGGTTACCTTTCCACTTTCTTAATCTCCTTTGATGCACAAAAAGTTTTCATTTAGATGAAGTCCAATTTATCTTCTCTTTTGTTGCTCATGCCTTTTGGTGCCTAAGAAGCAATATCTAAAACCAATGCCAAATCCAAGGTCATAAAGATTTATCTCCATGTATTCTCCTAAGGGTTTTACGGTTTTATAACCATAAAAATTGTTATTTTTAAATTGTAACATTGGCTGGACATGGTGGCTCATGCTTGTAATCTCAGCACTTTGGGAGGCTGAGGCAGGCAGATCACTGGAGTTCAGCTTGAGGCCAGCCTGGGCAACATGGAGAAACCCGGTCTTTATAAAAAATACAAAAACTAGCTGGGAATGGTGGCATATGCCTATAGTCCCAGCTACTTGGGAGGCTGAGGTGAGAGGATCACTTGAGCCCAGGAAGTCAAGGCTGCAGTGAGTTGTGATTGTGCCCTTACACTACAGCTTGGCAACAGAGAAAGACTCTGCCTAAAACAAAACTGTAAAATCTATCAACTATTGACCTATTTTTAGTTAATTTTTGTATATAGTGTGTGTTAGGAGTCTAATTTGATTCTTTAGCAGGAGAATATCCCGTTTTCCCAGCATCATTTGTTGAAGAGACTATTCATTCCTAAATGAATGTTCTTAGCACCCTTGCGGAAAACCAACTGGCCACAGATGTATGTATGGGTTTACCTCCAGACTCTAAATTCTATTCCATTAATCTGTGTGTCTACCCTTATGCCAGTACTACTTTGACTACTCTAGCTTTGTATTAAGTTTTCAAATCAGAAAGAGTGAGTCCCCTAACTTTGTTCTTTCTTTTCAAGATTGTTTGGCTATTCAAGGCCACTTGCAATTCCATGTGAATTTTAGAATCAATTTTTGCATTTCTGCAAAAGTCCATGGGAACTTCGATAGGTTTGATAGGATTGAATCTGTAGGTGATTTTGAATTGTATTGACATCTTAATATTAAGACTTCCCATATACAAATATGAGATATATTTTCATTTATTTATGTCTCCTTTATTTTGACAGATATACAAACATTATTTCAGCTTTCAGCATGCAAGTCTTTACCTTCTTGGTTAAATTTATTCTTACGCACTTTATTCTTTTGGAAGCTACTGTGAATGGACTTTTTTTCCCTTAATTTCCTTCTCTAATTGTTCACTGCCAGTGCATTCTTTTACTTTTAACCTACCAAGATCTTTGAATTTAAAGCAAGTTTCTTAGAATAGGTTTTGACTTTTTATCCAGCCTTATATTTGGTATATTTAAAATACTTACATTTAATATCATTATTAATATGGTTAGAATAAAATCTATAATCTTCTGAAGTTTTCTAATTGATCCATTTACTTGTTGTTCCTTTTTTCTTTTTCCCATCTGATTAAATACATTTTTAAATCACTCAATTTTATCTCTGTTATTTGCTACTTAATTATACATATATTTCTCTTAAAAGATTTTGGTGGTTTCCCTAGGGTTTATAAATATACATTTTACTGTTCCTTGAACATCACAAACTTATTCCTTGATCAAGGCCTTTCTACTAGGTGTATGTTCTATCTGGAATGTTTCTTCCCAAACCTTCAAATAGTTTCCATCTTCACATCACTGAGTCTCTGATCAAATATTAGCTCCTCAGGGAAGCTCTCCAAAACTAGCTTATCTACAGTAGCACCTGCACATACCACCTCTCCTCTGCTTCATTTTTATTTTTCTTCATCACCTCATCACCACCTGAAATTATATTTGTTTAATGTGTCTCCCCAACTAGAACACTTCATGTAATAGCAGCCTTCATTTTTCTTATTTACTATTACTGAACCTTCAGCACTTAAAATACTTTGCACATTATTTTTCAAATGAATATATGAATAAGTTCATTCCATTATCAGATTACCTCATACAAGACTAAGGAAATACAAGTGTTTACACAAACTGAACCTGATATATTTACAATAAATTACAGATTAAAGAAATAAGTTGTTACCTTTCTCATGACTAAATTGGCTGCTACTTATATTTGGAGAAAAGAAGAAAGAGAGGAACTATAAACAAAATCTGGGTCAAAAATAACTCTTTAAATGTCTATTTGATATAGTCTTTGCAATGAAAGAATTTTAAAGTTAAAAAAGATTTGAACCACAATGAGATACTACTCCATACCTACTATGATAGCTATTACTTAAAAAACAAAAACCAAAAAACAAAATAATAAGAGTTGGCAAGGATATTAACAAATTGGAACCCTTGTACACTGCTTGTGGGAATGGAAAATGGCACAATTATTATAGAAAAGTCTGACACATCCTCAAAAAGTTAAACATAAAATTACTTATGATTCAGCAACTCCACTTCTAGGTATACGCCCAAAAGAATTGAGAGCAGGACCTCAAACAGATACTTATAGGGCAATGTTCATAGCAACATTATCCACAATAGTTAAGAGGCAGAAAGAACCTAAATGTCCATCAACAAACAAATAGATGAAGAAAACGTAGTATATACATAAAATGAAATTTTATCAGCCATAAAAAGGAATGAGATTCTGATACATGCTACAACAATGATGGACTTTGAAAACATCATGCTTAGTGAAATAAGCCACACACAAAAGGACAAATATTGTGTGATTCCACTTATATGAGTTACCCAGAATAGGCAAATTCATAGAGACAGAAGGTAAAATAGAGGTTACCAGGGGCTGGGGAGATGGGAAAAGATTACTGTTACTAGACAGAGTTTCTGTTTCTAGACGATGAAAAGGTTCTAGAAATGAACGGTGGAGATGGCCGCACAATATTATAAATGTACTTAATGCCACTGAACTGTACGCTTAAATGGTAAATTTTAAGTTGAGTATATTTTATCAAAATAAAAAAATCAGACCGAGCAAATCTACTGCTGTCTCCAAAAGAAATCAGTATATCAAAGAGATATCTGTACTCCCACATTTACTACAACACTACTCACAAGAGCCAAGATATGGAATCAATCTAAATCTCCATCAACAGATAAATGGATAAGGGGAATGTGGTGTGTATGCACAATCAACTACTATCCTTTGGGAGAAGGTTCAAGATGAATGACTAGAGTTGTCCAATGTCAGTTCTCTTCAGAAAGAAGAACCAAAGTTACAAGTGAATAACCAATTTAATATGAATAGACTATCAAGCAGAGAGTGCTCGAGCCTAGTAGAGAACTCATGAGAAAAAACTGGGGCACAGAAAAAGAAGGAAGCAAGAGGCTGGCAGAGATCAGCTAGAAATCCTGAGGGACTTGGTATTTAGTTGAAAGGGTAGGTGGGAGTGTTTTGGGCTTCTTGTTCCCCTGTGACAAACTGTTGGTATCTGAACTGTCAGAGAGCTCTTCTACCCCTGCAAACCCAGACACTGGTGTGGGCAGTGATGTGGGGACTTATTGAAGGCACTGCACCAGACTACCAATTTGCACTGGGTTGCTTACTCTGCCCCTGGACTCGAGCAGCAGCAATAGGGCGCAATACTGGGAACACAGCCATCAGAGGTCTGTGTCCTGCTGAGGGAACCTTAGCCTTTGTGTCTCCAAATCAACAGAGCCCCATAGATATTCCCTGGCACCTGCTTAGATTGTGATAGCAGCAAAGGGCTGGCTGGACCCAGTGAGCTGCAGGGTTCCTAAGCAAGTGCTGCCCCGAAGAGAAAAACAAGTGTGGTGACCAAGGGAGTGCCCACAGGGACAAAGGAAACCAGAACACACACTTTCCTGTGCCCAAAAGCTCACCACCTGTGGGCTGTGAGTGACTGTGCTGCATTCAGCAAAGATGTGGGCAATGTGCTTGGCTCTGCAAGACTGCAAGTATGATTTCATCCCAGGGGCCAACCTGGGGTGAATGTTCAGACCCAGGCATGGAGATGGGGGCTCTTCCGTACCCCCACTGCTGTAGACATATCCATGGCTGATCCCACAGGAAACTGGCATGAGCATGTCAGAGGACAAACTTTCTGGGGCAGACAGGGGTGACTGTGGTCTTACTGGCAATCAGTCCACCATATCTAAGCTTGTGTAAAAGGTGAGAACCTCTTCCCCTCTCCATACAGAGCAGGAGTGTTCCTGCAAGGGAGAGAAGGAAAGCCAAAAAGCTGTGTGTTTTGGACTGAGGGAGAAGATTTCGAAACAAAGACATTCTGACAGCAAGCCATGGGGTAGTCATCTTTTATGGCTCTCAGCTACATTGCAGTCCGGAGACAGACAGTGGTGTCTGACAAGTTTGAGTGTTCTGAGTATGGGGACATGGGCATGATAGGAAGGGAGATCACACTTCTGCCTGCCCAGGCTATGGAGCTGTGATGGCTCCCTGCCTCACTGCAGAGACCTCACTGTACCTACCAGGAGCTTCCCTGCCACCCACATCAGGATTACTGCTTGCACTGACCATTGGGGAATCCAAGGGCAGGCCTGGCTGTCCATCTCTGCCATGATTTGTCCCCCGCTAGAGGGTGGGCAGAGAGCTCAAGCCACTGTACATTCCACAGCCCAGCCCACTGCCTGAAGCAACAGAGTGCTTTTCCCAGTAAACAAAGATTAAGCACCTGCCCATCTGCTGAGGCTGAAATGCACAACCCAATAGAAAATCTGCTGACACAAGTGCACAGTGCTGTGTAATGAGATGATTCTTGGGACTGCTGCCATCTCAGCCCTGCAGGAAGCTATAATACTGCTCATATACCCAGTACACTGCTACTACAACTAAGATATCAGAAAACCACCACACAAAGGCTATATTCAAAGAACTCACACAGAGTGTCTGCCAAGGAAGCACCCAGAACCAAAGCCAAATGATCTTACATAACATATATTACAGTTATATCCTTAAGAGGAAAAAATTCCTGTCCAAAAGAAAGTAAATTCAAAAATAATAATAAGAGATAGTTTATCTAATTATACAAGAAGGAAACAGCAAAACAACTCTGGAAGAATACAAAACAGTGGTATGATACCCTCAAAGATTCAAACTAAATCTTTAGCAATGGATCTTAACCAAAATGAAATCTTTGAAACACCAGATAAAGAATTAAAAATACTAATTCCTAAGAAGTTCAGTGAGATCTAAGAGAAAGCTAAAAATCAACACCAAGAAATGAAAATCAAGTCTGGAAATGAAAAAAATCACCAAAGAAATGATAAAATATCATTCAGGACTTAGGCATGGGCAAGGACTTCATGACTAAAACACCAAAGGCAATGGCAACAAAAGCCAAAATAGACAAATGGGATCTAATTAAACTTATGAGCTTCTACACAGCAAAAGAAACTATCAATAGAGTGAACTGGCAACCAACAGAATAGGAAAAAATTTTTGCAATCTAGCCATCTGATAAAGGGTTAATATCCAGAATCTATGGAGAACTTAAATTTACAAGAAAAAAACAAAAAAAACACCATCAAAAAGTGGGCAAAGGATATGAACAGACACTTTTCAAAAGAAGACATTTATGCAGCCAAGAAACACATGAAAAAATGCTCATCATCACCGGTCATTAGAGAAATGCAAATCAAAACCACATTGAGATACCACCTCATGCCAGTTAGAATGGCTATCATTAAAAAATCAGGAGACAACAGATGCTGGAGAGGATGTGGAGAAACAGGAACAATTTTACACTGTTGGTGGGAGCATAAATTAGTTCAACCACTGTGGAAGTCAGTGTGACAGTTCCTCAAGGATCTAGAAACAGAAATACCATTTAACCCAGCAATCCCATCACTAGGTATATACCCAAAGGATTATAAATCATTCTATCATAAAGTCACATGAACACATATATTTATTGAGGCACTGTTCACAATAGCAAAGACTTGGAACCAACCCAAATGCCTATCAATAATGGATAAAGAAAATGTGGCACATATACACCATACAATACAGCCATAAAAAAGGATGAGTTCATGTCCTTTGCAGGGACATGGATGAAACTGGAAACCATCATCCTCAGCGAACTGACACAAGACCAGAAAGCCAAACACTGCATGTTCTCACTCATACGTGGGTGTTCAACAATGAGAACACGTGGACACAGGGAGGGGAACATCACACACTGGGGCCTGGGGGGTAGGGAGCTAGGGGAGGAATTGCAGGGAGTGGGAGGATTGGGGAGGGATAGCATTAGGAGAAATACCTAATGTAGATGACGGGGCGATGGATGCAGCAAACAATCACCATGGCATGTGTATACCTATGTAACAAACCAGTACTCTCTGCACATGTATACCAGAACTAAAAGTATAATAAATAAATAAACAAACAAACAGTTGAAAGCTTCACCAGTAGACTAAACCCAGCAGAAAAAAGAATCTCAGAGCTTGAAGACAGGTCTATTGAATTAGTCAAGTGAGACAAAAATAAGGAAAGAATTTTCAAAAATGAACAAAGCCTTTGAGAAGTATAGGGGTTATATAAAATGTCTAAACCTACAAGTCATAGGTATTCCTGAGGAAAAAAGAAAAGGCAAAAAGTTTGGAAAATCTATCTGAGGAAGTAACTGAGGAAAACTTCCCTAATCCTGTTAGAGATTTAGACATCCAAATACAAGAGGCCAAGAGAACTCTAGGAAAATTCAGTGCAAGAATGACTTCACCAACACATATAGTCATCAGACTATCTAATGATAACATGAAGGCAAAAAATTCCTAAAATCAGCAAGAGAAAAGTGTCTAATCACTTATAAAGGAAATCCCATCAGACTAACTGTGGACATATGGCAGAAACTTTACAAGCTAGAAAAAAAAATCATGATCCCATTTTTTCAGACTTACTAAAGGAAACAAACAAACAAACCTGTCAACCATGAATTTTTTAACCTGCTAGAATGAGCTTCATAAACGAAGGAGAAAAATCTTTCCCAGACAAGCAAATGCTAAGGGAATTCATCACCATTAGACCAGCCTTACAAGAAATGCTCAAGGGAGTTCTAAACATGGAAACAAAAGGTCAATGCTCAACATCATAAAAACAGACAAAACATAAAACTTACAGGTCTTATAAAAAGAATGATCCAGTAATATGCTGCTTATAAGAAACCCACCTAACACAGATTGAAGGAAAAAGGGGTAGAAAATGACATTCCACACCAACAGAAACCAAAAGCAAGCAGGAGTAGCTATATTTGTATCAGATAAAACAGACTTTAAATCAACAACAGTGAAAAAGGACAAAGAAGGTCATTTTAAAATGGTAATGGGATAAAGTCAATGGGAAGGTATAACAATCCTAAATATATATATGTAAATGATACAGGAGGTACCCAGATTCACAGGACAACTACTACTGGGGCACATGTTCACAGGACCTCCCAAGATAGTGCCTTGAAACAAAAATAAGTAAAAAGAAAAAGAAAAGAAAATTAAAGAAAAACTACTCTAAGAAAAGAGGCAGAAATATAATCACAAAGAGGGACTTCAGCATCCCATTGACAGCATTACAGATCACTGAGACAAGAAATCAACAAATAGTAGACATTTATAGAACATTCTATTCAACAACCACAGAATATACATTCTTCTGATCAGTGCATGAAATGTTCTCTAAGACAGACCATACTTTAGACCATGAAGCAAGTCTCACTAAATTTTTAAAAATCAAAATCATATCAAGTGTCTTCTTGGACCACAGTGGAATGTAACTAGAAACTGATTCCAAGAAGAACTCTCAAAACCATACAAATACATAAAAATTAACTTGCTCCCAAATCACCTTTGGGTCAACAAAATTAAAATAGGAATCTAAAAATTTTTTCAAACAAATGAACATGGAGACACAACATAGAAAAACCTCTCAGATATAGCAAAAGCAGCACTAAGTGGGAAGTTTGCAGCATTATATGCCTACATTTAAAAAACCCAGAAAGATCACAAATTAACAATCTGACATCATACCTCAAGAACTAGAAAAACAAGAACCCAAAGCAAGCAAAAAGATAGAAATAAAGATCAGAGCAGTACTAAATGAAATCGAGAACAACAAAAATAATAAGAATCAAATAAATGAAAAGTGGATTCTTTGAAAAAAATAAACAAAATGAACAGACTGCTCAACTAACCAAGAAAAAAGAGAAGACCCAAATAAACAAGATCAGAAAAGAAAAAGGAGATATTACAACTGATACCACAGTAATACAAAAGATAATTGGAGACTACTATGAACATCTCTACACTCACACTAAAAAACCTAGAGGAAATGGTTAAAACCGGCAACATAAAACTTTCTAAGACTGAACTAGGAAGAGACAGAAATCCTAAAAAGACTAATAATGAGTAGTACAACTGCATCAGTGATAACAGATCTCCCAACAACAAAAACAAGCCCAGGACCAGATGAATTCACAGCCAAATTTTACTATACATACAATGAAGAACTAATACCAATTCTCCTGAAACTCTTCCAAAAAAATCAAGGAGGGACTCCTCCGTAACTCATTCTATAAAGCCAGCATCACCCTGACACCAGGGAAGGGCCCACAAAAAAAAAAAAGGAAAAAAAAAAAACCTCCAAATCAGTATCCCTGATGAACACAGATGCAAAAATCCTCAACAAAATCCTAGCAAACTAAATCCAGCAGTACATTAAAAAGATAATACATCACATCAAGTGGGTTATATTGCAGGGATGCAAAGATGATTCAACATAAATTAATAACTGTGATTCGCCACATAAATAGAACTAAATACAAAAACCACATGATCACCTCAATACATGTAGAAAAAGCACTTGATAAAATTCAGCATCCCTTCATAATTAAAAACAAATAAACAAAAATCAAACATAGTCCAGGTGTGTTGGCCCATGCCTGTAATCCCAGCACTTTGAGAAGCCAAGGCAAGTGGATTGCCTGAGCCCAGAAGTTCGAAGCCAGCCTGGGTAATATGGTGAAATCCATCTCTACAAAAAATTAAAAAATTGGTGAGGCATAGTGGTGTGTCCCAACTAATCAGGAGGCTACAGCAAGAGAAATACTTGAACCTGGGAGGTCGAGGCTGCAGTGAGCCATGACTTAGGCCACTGTACTCCAGCCTAAGGGACAGAGCAAGATCCTGTTTCAAACAAACAAAAAAACCTAAAAAAATCTAGGCTCTTTTTGCTTTGTTATAAAGAAGTATCTGAGGCTGCATAATTTATAAAGAAAAGAGGTTTAATTGGCTCATGGTACTGCAAGCTGTACAGGAAGCATGGCATTGGCATTTACTTCTAGGGAGGCTTTTACTTGCGGAGGAAGGTGAAGCAGGAGCAGGCACGTCACATGGTGAGAGTGGGAGCAACAGAGAGTAGGGGTGGGGGTTCCCACAGTCTTAAACAACCTGATTTCACAAGGACTCACTCACAAAAGGACAGCACCAAGCCATGAGGTCTGTGCTCCCATGATCCAAACACCTCCCACCAGGTACCACCTCCAACAATGAGAATTACATCTAAACATGAAATCTAGAAGGGAGATCCAAGTCATATCATAGGCAAAGAAGGAATATAACAAAAATGATATATGACAAACCCACAGCCAACATCATAATGAATGGGGAAAAGTTGAAAGCACTCCTCTAAGATCTGGAAGAAGACAAGGATGCCTACTTTCTCCACTCTCATTCAACATATACTAAAAGTCCTAGCCAGAGCAACCAGGAAAGAGAAAGAAAGAAAAGATATTCAAATTGGAAAAGAGGAAGTTAAATTATCTGTTTGCTGATATTATAATGTTATACATAGAAAACCCCAGAGATTCCTCCAAAAGTCTCCTAGATTTGATAAAAGAATTCAATGAAGTTTCAGAACATAAAACCAATATAAAAAAATGAGCAACATTTCTATACACCAATAACAATCAAGCTGAGATCCAAATCTTGAAGTAAATTCCATTAACAACAGCTACAAAAATATATAAATACCTGAGAATACAATTAACCAAGGAGGTGAAAGCCAAGCAAAACTTCAAAACACCAAATAAAGAAATTGCAGATGACACAAACTAATGAAAAAAAACATTCCATGTTCATAGATTGGAAGAATCAATATCATTAAAATGACCACACTGCCAAAAGCAGTCTACAGAGTCAATGTATTTCCTATAAAAATACCAATGTCATTTTTTCAGAGAGTTAGAAAAAAAAAAATCTTTTATGGAACCAAAAAAGACAGCCAAAGCAATCCCAGGTAGAAAGAGCAATACTGGAGGTATTCCATTACCTAACATCAAATTATACTACAAGTCTATAGTAACAAAACAGTATGGTACTTGTATAAAAACAGACACACGGATCAATGAAACAAAATAGAAAACCCAGAAATAAAGTCACATACCTACAGCCTCCTCATCTCCAACGAAGTTGATAGAAACATGCACTGAGAAAAGGACACCCTATTCAACATATGGTGCTGGGAAAATCAGACAGCCATATGCAGAAGAATGAAATTGGATCCGTATCTCTCATCATTTACAAAATTAACTCAAGATGGATTGAGGAGAAAGAAAAATAATAAGGATGAAAAATTTAAATTTCCAGCCTGGCCAACATCATGAAACCCCATCTCTACTAAAAATACAAAAAATTAGCTGGGTGTGCTGGCAGGCACCTGTAATCCCAGCTACTCAGAAGGCTGACGCAGGAGAATCATTTGAACCCAGGAGGTGGAGGTTACAATGAGCCTAGACCGTATCATTGTACTCCAGCCTGGGCAACAGAGTGAGACTCTTGTCTAAAAACAAAAAAACAAAAAACTTAAATTTAAGACCTGAAGAATTTAAAAATTCTAGAAGAAAACCTGGAAAGAACCTTTCTAGTCATTGGCCTAAGCAAAGAATTCAGGACTAAGATCTCAAAAGCAAATGCAACAAAAATAACAAGAGACAAATGGGACTTAATTAAACTACAAAGCTTCCGCACAGCAAAAGGAATAATCAACTGAGTAAAAAGACAACCTACAGAATGGAAGAAAATATTTGCAAACTATGCATCAGACAAAGGAAAATATCCAGAATCTACAAGGAACTCAAACAACCTAACAAGAAAACAAAACAAAACAAAAAATAACTCTATTAAAAAGTGAGCAAAGGGCCAGGTGGTTCATACCTGTAATCCCAGCACTTTGGGAGGCCAAGGTGGGCAAATCACAAAATCAGGAGTTCAAGACCAGCCTGGGCAACATGGTGAAATGCCATCTCTACTAAAAATATTAAAAAAAAAAAAAAATAGCTGGGCATGGCGGCACGTGCCTGTAATCCTACTCCGGAGGCTGAGGCAGGAGAATTGCTTGAACTGGGACCTGAGAGGCAGAGACTGCAGTGAGCCAAGATCATACCACGCACTCCAGCCTGGGCTACAGAGTGAGACTCCATCTAAAAAAAAAAAAAAAAAAAAAAAGCGAGCAAAGGACATGAATGGACATTTTTCAAAAGAAGACACACAAATGGCTAACATATGAAAAAAACGCTCAACATCACCAATCATCAGAGAATTTAAAATTAAAACCACAATGAGATACCATTTTACACCAGTCAGAATGGCTATTAAAAAGTCAGAAAATAACAGATATTGGTGAGGATGTGGAGAAAAGGGGAAACTTACAACTACTGGTGGGAATGGAAATTAGTACAACCTGCATGAAAAATGGTATGCAGATTTCTCAAAGAACTAAAAATAGAACTGCCATTCAATCCAGCAATCCTACTACTGAGTATCTACCCAAAGGAAAAATAATTATATCAAAGATACCTGTATTCATATATTTCTCATAGCATTATTCACAATAGCAAAGATATGGAATCAACCTAAGTGTCCACTGATAAATGACTAAATTTAAAAAAATGGTGTGTATACACACCAGGAAATATTACTCAGCCATTAAAAAGAATGAAATTATGTCTTCTGCAGCAACATGGATAAAACTAGAGGATGTTATCTTAAGTAAAATAACTCAGAAAGTCAAATACTGCATACTCTCACTTACAAATGGAAATAAATAATGTATACACATGGACATACAGCATAGAATAATAGACACTGGAGACTCAGAAAGGTAACAGGGTGAAAAGGGATGATGGAGGAGAAATTAACTCATGGATACAATGTCTACTATTCAGGTGATGGTTAACTAAAAAGCCCAGACTCCACTACTATGAAATATATTCATGTAATAAAACACACTTGTATCCCCTAAATGTACAAAAATAACACTATTCAGGCCAGGCGTGGTGGCTCACACCTGTAATCCCAGCACTTTGGGAGGCCAAGGTGGGTGGATCATGAGGTCAAGAGATCGATACCATCCCGGCTAAAACACTGAAACCCCGTCTCTACCAAAAATACAAAAATTAGCCGGGCCTGGTGGCGGGCGTCTGTAATCCTAGCTACTCGGGAGGCTGAGGCACGAGAATCACTTGAACCCAGGAGGCAGAGGTTGCAGTGAGTCAAGATCACACCACTGCACTCCATCCTGGGCGGCAGTGAGATTTTGTCTCACAAAACAAAAACACTATTCAGCCATTAAAAAAAATAAAATTGTCATTTGGGACAACATGGATGAACCTGCAGGACATTATGTTAAGTGAAATAAGCCAGACACAGAAAGACAAACACCACATGATCTCACTCATACGTGGAATCTAAAAAAGTTCATCTCATAGAAACTGAGAATAGAATAGTGGTTACCAGAGGCTAACGAGGGGATTGGGAACATGGTGATAGGAAGAGAATGATCGACAGATACAAAGTTACCCTTAGATAGGAAGAATAAATTCTAGTGTTACATTGCACAGTAGGGTGACTACAATTAACAATAATGTCTTGTATATTTGAAAATAACTAGAAGAGAGGATTTTGAATGCTCTCACCAGAAAGAAATAATATGTGTTTGAGGCAATCAATGTGTTAGCTAATTATTCTGATTTGATGTATCAATTACAAATAAAACTTTCAAAAATCATCAAAAAAGTGACTAGATATGCTAAGTGAAAGAAGCCAGACATAAAAGTCACATACCTTACAATTTCATTTATATTAAATTCTAGAAGAGGTAAAACTATTGTGACAGAAAGCAGACAGGTTCCTGGGGTTGGGGTTGGTGAACCGTAAAGGGAATGATAGAAATATTCCTTTGTTTTGATTGTGGTAGTTGTTCACAACTACATACATTTCCAATACATCAAGCTACATACTTACATTTGATGAATTTTATTACATATAATTTATACTTTAATAAAGTTAATTTTAAAAGTGAAACAGAGAGACCCAAGAAGATCTAGCCCTATGTAATTATCTGGGAGGAAAAAAAAAACATACAAAACTGTCTCTGAGTATACAAGATCACAAACAGGACTAGAATCTAGTTCCCTATATGAAATCCAAAGCTCTTTAAATAGTATAAATTCCCACTATTTGGCAGTAGGGAGTGGTGGTGAAGGATGGTTAATATTGGTAATTCAATACCTCCCGCTGGAATACAGATTTAAAACCCTGAGAGGTTGAAGAATTCATAAAGTTGTATTGGAAGGCTATAACCAAAACACTGGGCAATAGATGTTTACTTTGTACCAGTAATATGCTTATTCAGTTTATTCTAGCCAGTTTTGCTCACCATGTGTTAACCTACCCTGTATTAGCCAGACAGACTCCATTTTGCTAAATGTCAGACTCCATCTTAACCTCCGCCTCACCTCCCCCCACCACCATTTCTCCTGAGTGCATACCTCAGTCATGTTCCTGTGCTGGGTCATGTTGTACTTAGAGCTATAGAAACATATAACTGTTGTAACCCTATCCTGCTTGACAAGCCCACCTGGTATTGTGAATACCCCCTTGATTGAGTATGGAAAGCACTGAATGCGCCCCCGCCCCCACCCCGTTAACCAGCAATTGTGGGAACCGCTTGTGTATACCCTCCTTAGTTAATCAACAATCATGGGAGCCTCGTGCCTCCTAGTTACCAGCCTCCTCCCCTAACTTGCTTATTCTGCTTCTGTAAAATTCCGCTTTGCCCCTTTACCCTGAGCAATATATAAAAGGAAATCAAATACCTTCCTCGAGGCGGAGAGATTTGGAGCGTGAGCTAACGCTCAGTCACCGGCAATAAAGGACTCATAATTCAAACTCAGAGTGTGGTGCTTTCCATTCAACTCGATTGGTTACAACAACCAAGTTAAATTTTTCCCTATAAACCACATTCTATCCCTTTGATATGCATCTATCTATATAGGTCTCAATATTTGAAAAAAATGTAAAAAATTTAACTCATGATTCTAATGTATCATGACTGTAGCTTATACTAAATGCAAACAATACTTACTGTCTTTTAAAAAATCACATTAAAGTGACTTATTTCAAGCTAAATTCCTAACATAACTCCACAATTTTTTTTCTTTTTAATGCTTTGATATCACTGGCATTTCATACAAAAGGGGAGCAAAATATGAGTTCCCTTCTTTTTAGTATTATTTTATCACTCTCCTATTCGTTTTTTTTTTTAAAGCGATCTTCAGTAACATAATAGAAAAAAAATGTTTACGGCTCTTTCAATTGCCAATTTTTTTTTTCTTTTCTTTGATTTTCTTTTGTACCGAAATGATAAATGCTATTCCTTAACTTTACTGAGTAAAAAGAATGTCCTACTTTGCAGTCACTGTATTTGCCTTCTAGGTCTGCATAGAGTTCTAGGATTAACATAGCGTTTTCTGTGTATTACAATCTAGCACCTACTTAAGGATGGAAAACTAAACAAGAAATAGTATCTTTTCAAAGATAAGCAGTTTGGCTTTTCTTTTACCCTCATATTCCTGATTAAGATCACCCCAGTCTGAATTTGCCAATGGAAAATGTCTAAGCTGCATGAGATACCTGAGGCTAGCTGTACAATTAGTAACTGTTGAGTACACACCCTAGGTTGATTAAAACAATTAGAAACACACCCTAGGTTAATTAAGATAATTTTTAAAGGGTTAATCTTTTTCATCTTTCCAACTTCTTTCCCTTTGAAATATAGACATAAACCTTAACCCATAATTCAATGTCTTGATGTAGGAAGTCTAAGCAACAGAATTTCTTAAGACACAAATTGCCACATTGTCAAAGCTTTAAATGAGATCATTACATATATTCCGCATGTTGGGTAATATTTCATCTGCATAGTGAACAAAAACCAGCTGAAGTAAGGATTTAAAAATTACTGTTAGCAAAATGGTATCTATTATAAAAGCAGATTTCTAAAAACTTAAAAGCAATTCTGACACACACTGCTTATTTCCCATGACTTAAAACATAGTGTAAGGAAAGATTATATTACCTATTTCTAACAAAACGGTGTAGACAGAAAAAAAAATTAGAACAGGAGTCTTTAGGCCACAATAAGACCCCTAAGTATCACAGAACATAAAATGGAATAATTTAAAAGTTCAATTAAAGTTGAAAACAAAATTATTTAAAACAACAGCACAGAATCTGTGCTATGAAAAAAAAAATGACTGACAGGGAGGGGGATGAGAAAGGTGAGAAAAGCACTACCAGACTCCTTACCCATTGTTGTTGGTGCTGGAGCTTCCTGATGGTATTTTCAGCTTGCTCCAGCTTAGCACTGGCCTCATCACTCTGCTGTTTGATGGTGGCCAACTCCCGTTTTATGAGGTAGTTTTCCTCAGCCTCCTGGGCTCTTGTCACTTGTCCCTTAGGACATAATTTTTGTGTGTGTAAAGCAATTTAGGATAGATTCAAGAAAGACTGCCTTTGTGAGGTTTAGTTATTTACTTTGAAATGGTTAAAAAAAAAAAGTCACCTCAGCGAATAGAACAGCCTAGGTAATATTAGCTAGCAGCTTGTTATTGCTCCAGCAAATTTTGGGAAACTAATGAAAAATTCACCTGACAATCTTAAGAACAAATCTTCTTTCAGTCAGTAAAAATTTAATTCATGCAATATTACTGAGTTGTACATGCAGGACTAAAATTTTCAACGAATAGTAGTTAATTTCACAGAATTCACTGATTGCCATTTTGAAATAAATACTTAAAAAAATAAGGTTAGCTTTAAAACGTGCAAAAATAAACCAAGATAACACCTTGTTATAAAAAATTAAGTTGATACCCACATATACCACCCAAAAAAATTATTTCTAAGAAAATGCATATAAAATTGCATGCATTAAAATATGAATTTAGAGGTTTAGGGCTTTGCTTAGGAGTTAGAGATGATGTTTAAAAAACAGGAACAAAAACAAAAACTATACCTGTATCAATCTATCTGCCAAGGAAGCACTTTCCTACAAAAGGAAAAATTCAGATAGAAATATAAGAGAAAGAAGTAAGATAAAAGTGATAAAATTAGGAAAAAAGAAACACATATACCCAAATTCCATCTGCTTTTCATTGCTAATTAAAATGGACTTAAATATATTATTTTTTACTGAATGTTTCTATTTTTAAAACTTAAGAAAAATATACGAAAACAAGGATAGCTGGTTGAAAATCATGTGTTTCCAGAAGATACCAAACACAAATTCAAAGTGGTTTTTCATTACCTGGAACAAGCAAATCTCTCTCTCTCTCTCTCTCTCTTTTTTTTTTTTAATAGAGACAGGGTCTTACTCTGTCACCCAGGCCAGAATGCAATGGCATGGTCATATAGCTCATTGTAACCTCCAACTCCTGGGCTCAAGTGATCCTTCTGCTTTAGCCTCCTGAGCAGCCAGGACTACAGGTGTGTGCCACACGCCCAGCTAGTTTTAAAACTTTTTGTACAGATACAGTCTTGCTGTGTTGCTCAGGGCAGTGTTGAACTCCTGGCCTTAAGCAATCCTCCTGTCTCAGCCTTCCAAAGTGCAGGGATTATAGGCAGTGGCTCAGCCACTGCACTCGGCCAAATATTTCTTCCTCTTTCGATTTCTTTGTATCTTTTAGATTTAACCCATATTGTGAACCCACTTACATGAACAGAAGAAGGAATTTGAGTAAGCAATTCCACTTATAAAGTGTGACAGCAATTTGTGCAACAGCAACTTTCAAAGAAACAAAGCAAGGAAAACATGACAGAAGTAATAAGCTAAACTTTAGCAATAACTGAGCAAGTATACTTTATTACAGAATTCAATTGATATATAGTATTTATAGAATTCTAAGTGCTAAGTGACACGCCTGGGCCATCTAAGCCAGTAAGAAAAGAAACTTAATTTTCTAGAAGCAAAATCCAAACGTAATATTTTCTTACAACATCGTTATCGTTCTGAAGGTTCAATGAAATAAGAATGCTTTCCTGGTTCAAATGTCTTACTCCAAAGATTAAAAAACTAAAACAAAAAAACTAAGAAGATGCATATTTGTTTGTAAGCTAGATATTTAATGAGAAAAAAGAGTACATAATTAAAACAACTTAAAAGTAAGCTCAACCTTCCTGTGGAGTCACCAAAAGTAGAATTATCCTCATAGCAATCCTAACATAATGAGAGAAAAACAGGGAAACTATTTTTGACTTAAAATGATATCTCTGCAATTATTATACAACAAAGGCAGACATGTAATAAATACCCTGTCCTTATACACTTGTATCTAATATGAAGTCATCAATACTTTTTAAGCAAAAGACAAATACTGCAAAATATCCATACTTCCATTTATTTATGTCTTGACTTTTATCTGTAGATTTGCAGGGAAGATTTTAAGATCCTTGGCAATATGATGAGGGGTATGTTTAAATCTACTTACTGTCATCTCTAGTTAAGAAGAAAAAGGAAAAAAGTGGCCGGGCACAGTGGCTCATGCCTATAATCCCAGCATTTTGGGAGGCCAAGGCAGGCAGATCACAAGGTCAGGAGGTTGAGACCATCCTGACCAACATGGTGAACCCCCGTCTCTATTAAAAATACAAAAATTAGCCAGATGTGGTGGCGCATGCCTGTAGTCCCAGCTACTCAGGAGGCTGAGGCAGGAGAATCGCTTGAACCCGGGAGATGGAGGCTGCAGTGAGCTGAGATCGTGCCACTGCACTCCAGCCTGGGTGACAGAGCAAAACTCTATCTCAGGAAAAAGAAAAAAAACACCAAAAGAGTTTGTGAATTCAGATGTTTTTCCTTCAATAAGGCAAAATTCTTAAACCAGACTTTTACTACTCAATTCATTCTTCTAGCATCTGAAAATGACTATAAAAGATTTTTCATCAAAAGCACAGTATGAAAAATAATGCAAAATTTCCACATTTGCCCAGTTATTCTATATGAAACAGAGAAAATGTAACAAGTACATATCAAAATAATTCTAAGAACTAAAAGCTTATGCACAATTCCTTTGTGCTGAAAATCAACTTGAGAGTGAATTTTTATCTAAGGGATCCGTCAGTCACTTCAACTAAAAGCAATCCTGACCTTAAAGGACTCATTGGCACATTAAATATGCTAAAAAGTCTAGGGCAACATTTGAAACTCATCTTTAAAATGCTTTATCAGAATGGACTCCCAATTAGATTCTAAAAGAACATACTTTTTAGAAATTATGTGTAAAGAAAACAAATAGTATCAATATGTTACTGAATCTCAGTTAAAACTTGACTATGAAAGTTCAAAAGAACCAGTACAACTGATCAATTTTTATTAGTAACAAGTTATCTGGCTATAAATAGTAAGGTAGGTGAGAGTTAAGCAGTCAATACTACAACACAGCAGATGTGTGCCAGAATTTTTTAGGATTTTTAATAAATACACACAAAAAAAACACTAGGCATTCAACAGAAGCTTGTGTAAGTAGTCACTTACTTTTTCTAATGTCTCAATGCGCTGTTTTAAAAGTCTATTTTCTGTGCGTAACCTCTGCCAAGAAAAAACAATGTTTTATTGGCAAGCATTCTTGAGAGGAGAAAAGATTCCTAAATCACAGTCCTAAAACTGTACCACCTTTTATAAATAAGAAAGGAGTCTAAGGAATGATTACATTATTAAATGCCAAAGACTCAGAGTAAGAAACACACAGCAGGCAGGGCACCATGGTTCAAGCCTGTAATCCCAGCTCTTTGGGAGGCCAAGGTGGGCAGATGGCTTGAGCTCAGGAGTTCCAGATAAGCCTGGGCAACATGGTGAAATCTCGTCTCTATGAAAAATAGAGACAAAGGCAACACAGACACACACAGACACACACACACACAGACACACACACACACACACACACGCGCGCTCTTTAGCCAGGAATGGTGGTGTGAGCTTGTCATCCCAGCTACCTGGGGGGCTGAGGTGGGCAGCTGGGAGGTGGGCAGCTGGAGGGTGAGGGCTGAGGTGGGGAGAGAGGAAGTTGTAGTGAGCTGATATTGGGCCACTGTACTCCAGCCTGGGTGACAGAGTGAAACCCTGTGTCAACAAAGGGGAGGGGAGGGGAGGGGAGGGGAGGCGAGGGGAGGGGAGGAAAGGGGAGGGGAGGAAAGGGGAGGGGAAGGAAAAGAGGAAAGGGGAGGGGAAGGAAAAGAGGAAAGGAAAGGAAGATAAAGAAATAGAAATAAATATACCACAGCAAAGGAAATAATCATATTAAAATGCACCCTATAGTACATATGGAAATAAGCCCTTTCATTTCTACACTTACCATAATGACTCATAATCAAATATTTTCTTATGTTTTAACATCCTCATTAGACAGAAAAGATTCTAACTTGCCTACCTCCAACAGAGCCTATCTATATAATTAATATTCAAATGTCAGCTGAATGAAGAAATAAGAGATCTAAAAAATGCATGTTCATAGGCTAAACATCAAATTGTTCATTTAGGGCCCGGCATAATGGCTCACACCTGTAATCCAAGCACTCTGGGAGGCCAAGGCAGGTGGATCACTTCAGCTGAGATGTTCAAGACTAGCCTGGGCAACATGGCAAAACCCCATCTCTATAAAAAATTTAAAAATTAGCTGGGTGTGGTAGCATGTGCCTGTAGTCCCAGCTACTCAGGAGGCTGAGGGGGAGGATGACTTTAGCCCTGGTGGCAGAGGTTGCAGTGAGCCAGTATCACATCACAGTACTCCATCCTGGGCATCAGAGCAAGACCTTGTCTCAAATTTGAAAGAAAAAAAAATTGCCCATTTAGACTACAATAGTCTCCATATATAATATGGCATAGATGACAAGTTGTAAAATCCATTACATTCTGAAAATACAAAAAATTTAATTATTTTTTTCTGAAAAAATTAACAACTCCAATTACTAGCATTTTCTCTTACTTCAAAAAGTAAAACCAGATGTTTAAAAAAGCACTTCACCTAATTATTCAATGCCTGGTTCCCAAAAGCTTATCTAATTACTGTCATCAAGTATTAAAAAAAAAAAATCCAAGTCACTCTACATTTTAAAAAAGTTATTTTTGCATATCCACCAATATCATTGCTTATTAATCCCCTTTATAAGTGGTCTTTTCATTTTCAAATTGCTTAGATGTTGCCCCTTCATTTTTGCCATCAAATTTCAGTTTCAAAGTAATCACCCTTACCTTTTCGTACCAATTTGTTCCAGAACTGAGTCAAGCCTTCTTCCACCCCACCTTCCTATAAATTTCTGCTAAAAAATGTCTGTCTCAGAAAATTCTTCCATCAATTCAGCCTACTATTTTGCCAGTAAAGACTTACATATGGTTTTACATAACATATAAAGTATTAATTCAGCAAAATGAGAGGCTCTGAATTACTGCATCTTATTATTAAGTGGATCACAAATTGAAACAAATCTTAGAGTTATTACAAGGATACTTTGCAAATTAGATTTCTTGTTCTATTCACTAAAATTTAGATGATCTGAACTGGACATTATGACATATAGGAAAGTTAATAACTAATAACTGACAACAAAATAACAGCTTGAGAAGTAGAAAATGTTCTCATTTCTTGGCTCCTCCTGCTATGTGCAGCATAGTGGTCTACACAAACAAGCAATTATTAAATGCTGCTAAAGTCTAGATAGCCAAAGAAATAAATGAGATTCTCAAAATGTTCTCAATCATATTTCATCAACAAGAGGTAACTTTTTGTTTTTATCTTAAAAGATGTAGAAAACTAAGTTCCAACCAGATAACTGAGTGAATTAAGTTAGGACAGAAATCATGCTAAAATAAAATTTAGAACTGAAAATGTTCACCTGGATTTCCTTCCCCAATGACTTTCTTCCACAAACAACTATCACCACTTCCTCATTTGTATAATATTTACATTAGGAATTAATCCAATAGAATAGACTTTTTCAGTTACCACAAATCATTTCAGGGTTACCTTTAAGTTTCAAGTGTTATTGTCTTTTTTTTTTTTTTGAAATTAATATCACTGTATTTTGGTAATTATAGCTTGGCTATCTGTTTTTTTTTTTTTGGAAGGGTGGGGCAGGGGTTTGAGACAGAGTATTGTTCTGTTGCCAGGCAGGAGTACAGTGGCGCAACCTCGGCTTACTGCAACCTCTGCCTCCTGGGTTCAAGCGACTGAACCCAAGTGACTGCCTCCAGCCTCAGCCTCCTGAGTAGCTAAGACTACAGACGCGTCCACATCTTACATGACAAATACATCAAAGTCTCTCTTGGAAAGCAGGAGCAGCACACTCTATATACTGAAGAATACACACAGGCCTTAGAATAACATAAATCAGACTTCAAATCCTTGATTCTCACTGTTTCCTCACAATGTGACCACTGGCATATTATTTGAGCTTTCTGAGGCCTAATTTCTTCGCAGGTAAGGATAAGAATCCTTTCATGATGATGTTGTAAGAAGAAGGGGAAATAATGCATGTAAGTGACCCATCACATATTAAGGGTTAAATAAATGAGAGCTTTCATTCTAATACTTCACACTGATTGATCAAATGTAATTCCTGGGCAACTTAGATAATACTTGTCTTTTTTTTTTTTTTCTTTTTTATGCCAAGCATAAAAATTCATTATATTCAATGAGCACTTTTATGTTATTTTATGTTATGTTATTTTCTGGCTTTCAGCATATCTAAAATGTTCCACAGTTTTTCAAACAGAAAAAAAAATACTTAACTTTTGACTAAAAAATAGTCAGAATTTCTAATACTTCCCTTTGTAGGGCTTTAGATCTCTGCATCTCAAAGCAAAAATTTAAATATAAAAAAGAGATTATCAGTTCATGTCTATCAGAATCAAAGTTTTTCTTTTTTAAATATTTGTGTGTTACCCTAATATAAGCTAGAATTTTATTTTTATAATTTCTTTCTTTTTTAAAATTAAGATGGGGTCTTACTATGTTGGCCAGGCTGGTCTCAAAATCCTGGGCTCAAGTGATCCACGTGCCTTGGCGTCCCAAAGTGCTGAAATTACAGGTGTGAGCCACTGTGCCTGACCAATCTAGAATTTTAACATTTCTTCTCTCCTCCACAACAGGTAGAATATAATAGACTGTAAGAAGATACTGATAAAGATTTCTTTTAACAAAAATTTCACACAGTAAAATTTAAGGTTCTCCAAACATGGTGACTCTGTCTCCACTAAAAATACAAAAATTAGCTGGGTGTGGTGGTGCGCACCTGTAGTCCCAGCTATTCGGGAGGCTGAGGCAGGAGAATCACTTGAACCCGGGAAGTGGAGACTGCAGTGAGCCGAGATTGTGCCACTGCACTCCAGCATGGCAACAGAGTGAGACTCAGTCTCGGAAAAAAAAAAAAACCCAAGAACAGATTTTCTAAATGAAGACATTATTATCAAATTCTTCCTATAACACTTTTAGAGAAGGTGTGGAAAAAAAAATATTTAAATGTCACATCTTAACCAGGGGGCTCACTGACAGATACAGTTCTTAGAATAAAAGGTCATCACCCCAAGGGTCTTTTAATTAATGTGAAAACAACAGAGACCTTATAAACACATTTCACAACACCAATGGCTAATTTTATACTTCCATTTTAAAACACCAAACAATCTTATAATCATACTATTTGCCTATAAAAATAATGGCACAAAACTATCTTCCTGTGGACTTTTAAAAGGATCAAGGCAAGAAAGTATTAGTTTACAACTAGAATCCATTCTCTTGTAAAAGAGACTTATGGAGAGGGAGGAAGTATAAGAAGTAGCATTTTATAGCAAGGCTCAATTAATATTTTACCTCACTAATGAATTGCAAATAAGGTGGCCATCTGATCATGATTGAAATGAGATGCCAGGGTCCAAGTAAAAAATTCAGACACCCCTAAATATGAAGTTTAAAAAAGTACAGTCATTCAAAAATTGCTTTGGTTTTAATATTTTGTAGAACTGGGGAGTGAAAAAAGAGATGAAAATGGTATAAGAAAGAGCTACAAGGAAACAGTATTAGAAAAAGAGAAGAGACTACCTTTGAGATCAGCATACTTTATTTACCTGCTATGTTCCATTAACTTTCTAAGCTTTCTTTCCCCACCCCCACCATATTCTTCTCTATACACAATTTTATGCCAACTGCCTGAGACACCTGGATCCTGATTTAAAAGCATTTCTTCAGGCATATGAACTGTAACTTTCCCCAAAAAACAAAGGACAGAAAATACTGCAAATGGCTGGGCATGGTGGCTCACGCCTATAATACCAGAGCTTTGGGAGTCCAAGGCTGGTGGATCGCCTGAGCAACATGGTAAAACCACGTCTCCACCAAAAGTACAAAAAATTAGCCAGGCATGGTGGTGTGCACCAGTAGTCCCAGCTACTGGGAAAGCTGAGGTGGGAGGATCGCTTGCATCTGGGAGGTCAAGGCTGCAAATGAGCCAAGGTTGTGCCACTGCACTCCAGCTTGGGTAACAGGGAGACCCTGTCTTTAAAAAGAAAAAAAAAAAAAAAAGGAAGGAAAAAAATACTGCAAGTATAGGTGAAAGTCTGCTAAAGATTTGTTTTTCGAAAATGCCTTTTGGTATTCCTATATTCATATACTTAATTTTATAAGAAGCTTCTTCAAGAGTAAGGACTGTTCATAGAACTGTGATTTTTTTTTCAGTAACATAGTGTGGTGAAATGAATAGGATGGCTTCCCCATCCTCAGATTCTTGATTTGCAGTTCCGAATATTCATAGTAAGTGAAAACCCATACTCTCTCCCCATTCGTCAAGATTATGTAATTTTACTTTCAGTAAAAATACCCTTACTCATCGTACCCAAAAGAAAAGCAAATAGTAGAGCAGCAGTTGTGTGACAGAATTTTAAAAAAAAAGGGAAAAACATCCACCAGGTTCTTTTCTCTATGTATTAAAAATCTGGAAGTATCTATTTCCATTTGATAAGGAAAGGTGATAGAAATCGAAATAGAACCTCTAGAAAAGGGAAGACAGAGTTGGTAAGACAGAGGTAACATAAGAAAACTGGAGAGACTGTTTCCCTGGAGGCTTTTGAGGAGGGCCACAGCAGGAAAGAGTATTAGTTTAACAGAACCCATTCCCTTGCAAAAGGAGCCTGTGGGATGCGAGCGTTATTTTATAGCAAGGCTCAATTAACATATGGCTGATTATAAATAAGGTGGTCATATGCCTTACCAGGTCTGAGTCAAAAATTGGAAACATTCAAACCTAAAGTTTAAAAAGGGAGGAGGCAGTCATTCCATTAAAATTATTTTACATTTAACCCTTTTCTCCAGGGGCTTGGGATGCGGGGGGTAGAGGGGAATAAAGAGATTAGAAATTAAATTACGCAGTCAGTAAGTTCTTCGACTCATGCTTTCACTTATTATCTCCATCCTGCAATATCAGCCTAAAAGCCAACACAACTTTTCTCAGGTCCCAACTCCAAGAGTGCCACAGACCCCCAACTCAAGAATTCCTTGGCTTACTGGAGGGGGGGTACAAACTTTATATTTTTAGAATATATATATATGGTATTTATATGCCCTTTGAACTGAAACTCTCCTTGATTTTCTGGAGAGACGTAGTTCAAAAGTATAAACCTTGCTTAGAGAAGAAAAAGTTGCACCAGTCAAAGCTTTCTGTAGCTCTAGGGCAGCCATAATTAATTCTAGTATAGTAATGTGCTCTAATGTTTGGCTGAGATTATACTCTTGTTGGTCTAGGCTTAGAAAGCGTTAGTATAGATTGTCTTCTCTGCAACTTTAAAAAAACATGCTTAAATGGAATGATAATTATCTTCTCCATGGAAGTATTTTCTCCTTATGAGCCACCAACAAATCTAGACAAGGGAAGAGCTTGCTCTCCTTCACACTCCTTCGCATTATTCTGCTTTTCTGAAATGTCTATTTTTAACTATAATCTAGTAGGATGGTAAATACATTTATGAATATAAGAAGTACAAACTTTAACATCTACCATCCAATAATTGATTTCAGCCAATTAATCTTCAGTACTTAAAAAAGCCCCAAAATGCTTACTTTAATTTCAACTTGCTCTTCCATTTCTTTCGTTTTTATTGTAGTGTATTCCTTTTCAAGCCTAAGAAAGGGAAAAAAAAAGAATGCTTTCATTCAAAAGCAGTTATTAAATTACAAAATTTAAAAATACATAGGAACATAAAAATACAATTCTTTAGTTTCCTCTAGCTTATAACTTGGAGATATTTGATGTGTGAAAAATCATGCAGTTTCGTGAGTTCTTATAAAAAATATAACTTTACAAATGACAAAAACAAAAACCACACAAAAAGAAAATTTAGAAAGTAAAATATATAAAGCACAAAATACAACTGAGTTTACAGATTCTATTCAGCCCTAAACTTACAAATAAACCATCTAATCTTTCTCCTCAAATTAAAACATATCTGTAGGTTAAACTGGCTCTTAACTTAGAAATCCTGGTACCAACACTGACTTTAAACATTTTAATGAGGGAAAGTGGACAACTCTTCCTTACAGAAGAATTCCAATTAATAGACATAGGAGGAATAAAGCAAAGATAAAAATCACCATTAGAATTCTACAGTAATAACTACTGAGGGAGGAATCACTAATGGATGCTAGAATTAGTGAGTGAAAGTTTAAGCATAGTCTCAAATTCTCTCTCCTAAAATGTAAGTGTTAAAGAAAAATACTAAATGTATAGTACAGAATCCTGGCAGACTGCACCTGAATTGATTAAAGTTAACATCACCAGTAATACATACTGACATCATGTATCCTTGTTAAGATGTACTGAGTTAAGTGGATTAACATAGAAACAGAAAACCAAAAACCCATGTTCTCCCTTACAACTAGGATCTAAACACTGGGTGCTCATGGACATAAAGAAAGAAACAACAGACACTGGGGAATAATAAGGGGGAGGGGAGAGAGGGAACAAGGTTTGAAAAACTAACCATTGGGTACTGTGCTCACTATCTGGGTGATGGAATCATTCGTATCTCAAACCTCAGCATCATGCCATATGCCCATGAAAGAAATATGAGCAGGTACCCCCTGAATTTAAAATAAAGGTCAAAATTATTTAAAAGTAAAAATAATTTAAAACATGACACTGGGCACAGTGGCTCATACCTCTAATCCCAGCACTTTGGGAGGCTGAGGCAGGCAGATCACGAGGTCAGGAGTTTGAGACCAGCCTGACCAACATGGTGAAACCCTGTCTGTACTAAAAATATAAAAATTAGCCAGGCATGGTGGCATGCACCTGTAATCCCAGCTACTCAGGAGGCTGAGGCAGGAAAATAGCTTGATCCTGGGAGGCAGAGGTTGCAGTGAGCCAAGATTGTGCCACTGTACTCCAGCATGAGCGACAGAGTGAGACTCTGTCTCAAAAAGAAAGGTTGAAATTATTAAAAAATAAAAATAATTTAAAATGTGACACTGGAACACAGTGGCTCACATCTCTAATCCCAGCACTTTGGGGGGCTGAGGTGGGCCAATTGCTAGAGGCCAGGAGTTCAAGACCAGCCTGAGCAATATGGTGAAACCCAGTCTCTACAAAAAATATGAAAATTAGCCAGATGCGGTGGGGGCGTGCCTGTAGTTACAGGTACTGAGAAGCTGAGGTGAGAGGATTGCTTGAGCTGTGGAGGTCAAGGTTGCAGTGAGCGGTGATCACCACTGCACTCCAGCCTGGGCAACAGAACAAAACCCTTCCCCTTACCCCCCAAAAAAGTGACAAACCATTAAAAAAAAAAGATGTACCGAAAAGGGCATATCACCTGCGTGGTAGGAGGAGAGTAAGCATGATAATCCAACTCTATTCTAAGTCTAAAATTATCTTTATAAAAATGTATAGGCCACACAAAAACTGGTACCACCAAATTTTTCTATCTTGCTCTTGACAAGAAGTATCAGTACCATGTTTACTATAAATATAAGCCAGACCAGGCTCCAAATAACTTATAGTTGCTTTCAAAAAAAAAATTCTCCCTCAAAGAGCAGAAATCTATTACTTATCTCATTTAGCTCACAATAACTTTTTATTGTAAGTTGTTATACCTACTCTGGGGTTTAGAAAGCTTGAGAAACTTCTGTACAGTCACAGCCTTGACTGCTACATTACTCTGTCTCTCACTAAAGTATATCTTAAAACAGGGGTCACCAGCCCCTGGGCCATGGACCAGTACCAGTCCATGGCCTGTTAGGAACCAAGTTGGCAGAGCAGGAGGTGAATGGCAGGCAAGTGAACATTACTGCCTGAGCTCCACCTCCTGTCAGATCAGCAGCAGCATTAGATGCTCATGGGAGTGCAAACCCTACTGTGAATTGTGCATGTCGGGGATCTAGGTTGTGTGCTCCTTATGAGAATGTCATGCCTGATGATCTGAGGTGAGGTGGAACAGTTTCATCCTGAAGCAATACCCCCAATCCCCGTGAGTGGAAAAATGGTCTTCCATAAAAGCAGTCCCTAGTGTCAAAAAGGCTGGGGACCACTGTTTTAAAAGACTGCAAATAGTCAAAAGAATTTACTAAAGACTCCGAAGAGCTGCAAAACATTCTGAACCGCTGCACTACTGAAATAAGTTTATAGCCTTCACAAATGACTACTCTGAAGAAGTTACCATCATGCATTATGTGAAAATATCACTCATTTACACGCCTAAAAATAAACCCTACTTATTTAACTCCACTGATAGTGTTTTTCAATAAACTTTTTTTTAAAAAAGTATTCAGTTTACAAAAAGACTGTGAAGATAGTACAGAGAATCCATGTATCCCATCCCAGTTTCCCCTATTATAACATATTACAGTAGAATGGTACATTGTTATAATTAATGAATCAATATTAACACACTGCTGTTACCTAAAGCCCATGACAGTTTTGATGAGTACCTTCATTGTTTTGAGGAGTACTGGTCAGGTATTTTGTAGTTATCATTATGTGACCTTCAAATGGGACCATTATGTCCTTCAAATGGGATTTGTCTCATGTTTTTCTCATGATTATACTGGGGTTATTGGGTTTTCAGGAGGAAGACCACAGAGATAAGTGCCATTTTCATTATCTCATATTAAGGGTACAAACTATCAACGGATCATCACTATTGATGTTGACCTTGATCACTTGGCTGAGGTAGTACACACCAGGTTTCTCCAGTGTAAAGTTATTTGTTCCCCCTTCATTTATAGTGTTTTTAGACCAACATTATGGTTTGTATAAATTACTAGAAAAGACTAATAATCTAATAATTGTTCTTTCTATGACTAGTTTCATAACTCAATGTTTTCTACACACTATTACCAAAGTGGTCTTTTTCATTGTTATTTATTTATTTATTTATTATTCTTTTTATTTGCGGGAAAAAAAAAAGTCGGGCCGCATTTCGTACCCAAATGCCTCCCAACACAGCCCCCACAGACAGGGAAGAGAGGCAAGGGGTTCCTGCAGGCAGGACGGGGAGAGAGGTCCCATTCACCATGAATGTCCGTCCCTTGCCCACTGTGGATCGTTCGCAGCCTGGGAGAGCGTGATGTCACCACATAGATCGGAAACAAAGTGGTCTTTTTTAAAAACATTGATTTGGATCATGCCACACACCCAGAGTGTCAGTGGTTACTCATTACCTTCAGATTAAATTTCAAAGTCTTACAAAAAGTAATCAAAGCTCTTTGGAGAAATGGCTTACTACTGAGCAAGAGTCAAAAAGGTATAAATTGAACCTGGAACATTCTGGTGCCCTAAACAAAGGAAATTCCCAAAGAATAATGAGAAAATATCAAAAGAACACAGCCTCCATCTTGGAAAGGTTCCCACTGGACAAATCAGGGACAATTTAATAGTAATGCATTAGAGCTCACTGAATAAAATAACCCATGAATTCACACTGATGTAAATAAATGAGTAAATAAATGAGGGTGAAGGGAAAGTTCTTCCTTATAGTAGAATGCTGATTAATAAATAAAGAATGAGGGAGTGGGAAAATCATAAATGGATATAAAACTGGCATGCTAAATTTGGTAAAGAAAGAGGTTACTACATAATCTCAAAATAGCCTGCCACAAATTACTTATTACAAAAGGGAAAATAATAACAGTAGTAAAACCTGGCAGATATTACCTTAATCAAGTGATCAAAGCTAACATTACCAGTTTGAGAGAAAGCATTATCACGTATATCATATGGTGAACTGAGAAGATACAACATCAGTGGTATACTTGTCAAAAATGCAAAAGCTGAATCTAATCTTGGGAAAATCCCCAAAAAACTCAAACTTTGAGATTTTCTACAAAATAACTGGCCTGAATACTCTTTAAATATATCAGAAACACAAAGACTGAGGAAATGTGTCAGATTAAAGAAGACCAAATAGGTATGACATGAAAATCCTACATGTGATCCTAGAGCAGACCCTGGACTGAGGGATGGGGAGATAGTTATACAGCATATTGTTGGGACAGCTGATAAAATCTGAACATACACTGTGGATTAGATAATGGCAGTGTATCTGTTAGGTTGGTGCAAAAGTAATTGTGGTTTTTGCCATTGAAAGTAATGCAAAACTGCAATTACTTTTGCACCAACCTAATATAATCTCCTTGTTTTGATTAACTACTGCGTTTGTGTTAAAGGAAACTATGGATAAAGGGCACAATACCTCAATTTATTCACGTATGCATTTTACATATACATACACACATTATATTTATATACGTATATGGAGAAGAGAGGATAATAAAGCAAATGGGATGAAATGTAAACAATTGGTGAATCTTGGTAAAGAGTGTATCAGACCCCCTTGTACTATATTTGTAACTTTTTAGTAAGTTTAAAAGTACACCAACATAAAAATTCATTAAAAAAAAGTCAACGGCTAAGACTCAACTGTTAAACTTTCATATAGTAAGGGAAACTCTGAGCCTTCGTACCTATTACCATTCTTATAATGCCCACCTTCTCTTCATCTGGCCAACCTCTATTACAGCAAAGAGTAAAACTTTTAAAACCAGATCATGTCAATTTTCTCAAAACTCTCTACTGGTTTCCCCTCAGGTGTGGAATAAAGTCTGGCCCATGAGGAGGCCAATAACTAA